GGATTGTTTAGAACAAAAAGCAGAGGATGCGAATAAACGATGGATAGAAAAACGTAAACAATTGACAACTGCTGAAAACAACGTTGCTAAACTTAAACACGCACTAGGCAACATTAAAATAACTTCTTATCAAACAGCGATTAACCGGCAACAACCTTGGGGACAGAGAAATATAGCTAATCACAATCTAAATGATGCGATCGATAATCAACTGGAGCAGCAACAGCAAATTCGTCGTCGTTGATAATGAACTTTTGTCAGTACATTCTCAGTTTTTATTCATCAGCAAAATTCGAAATAGGAATTGAAATCCGCAAAAAAATCTAAGACGAACAAATAGATTAACATTCATTGATTGTGAACTCTCATTTTGTCGCTCTAGTTCAATTTGATAATTACTACTACCCTTGATTGATGTTATAATAAAAACGAAACTATTATTGACTTATCTTTCTCTTGGAATATGTTGTTCGACGCAACGAATAGATAATTGAGTATCGTGTGAACGATAAAGGACAATTGATTGATCATATATTCATCATGTGCTATTACAGTTATGTGATAACGATCTATTTGGCAAACAACAGCAATTACAGATGTCTTTTATAAGGAAAAAGGAAAAGCAAGCAATCTGATGATTTACAGACAGGACTGATCATGCATTTCAAAAGACTTGACAGTATTGAAGTCAGCTGAACGTAATTTTTGAATAGATGTTCAACATTTCCCTGGTAGAAATCCATCATCAACGACCAGTCGTTTTCGATACAGATCATGTCGACGAAATGCGCAGAAAACTTTGTTTGATCTTATCATGGAAGTTTTCCATTGTCACTGTATAGAAGAAAACATCTTTTTGGTGGACAAAACTAAATTAATGATCTGAACCAATCAGAAGATTAGTCCAACGTTTATCAGTTTCTCATTAACGTTTTTTCGGTGACAGCAAAGTTGTTTGTTCATAAATCAAACTTCGAGATGACAACAGCGCCAGGTCGAAATCGTTGTGTCACATGTAATAAAGACAAAGCGACATTAAGATGTGGTGGATGTTTAAAAGAATTCTGTTTTAATCATTCAACAGATCATCGACAAGAATTAAGTAAACAATTAGAAGTCGTTGAAACAAATTATAATGTTTTCCAACAAAAAATCATCGATCAAACAGGCAAACTGCAAAATGATGTTGTAATCAAAGAAGTCAATGATTGGGAAAATGAATCAATCAAAATAATTCAACAGAAAGCACAAGCGATTAAACAAGCTGTAGTGAAATATACAACTGATCATATGAAACAAATGGAAGTTGATATGAATAAGATCAGTCGGGAATTACGACAATATCGAAAAGAAAATGATTTTTATGAAACAGATCTTCGACAATGGAACGAAGATTTAGGAAAATTAGCAACTCAATTCGATAATCTATCAAATATTGTTCTTCAAAGGAATTCGGCAATGCTCATCAACAGCATTTCGGTTGTTGTAACATCAAGTAAATAAACAAACAATGATTTCATACCGTAAATATCTGTTTCTTTCAGATTCGGTTGGCGGTGTTGATTCATCAAAGGTTTCGAATACTGTTCCAAACAATAATCGAGGTTTTCAATTGAAAGTCTCTTCTATTTTCATGTGGAATCTTTTATTTTTAGTTGGAGTTAAGCGTACGGAATCTCAAATGAATATTGATACTCGTAGTAAGTTGAATTTCTTCAATTAACAACTTCAACGTATTGATTTTGTCTTTTCAGTTTGTTACTTTTGTGGTAAAGCGGGTCATATCAGTCGGTATTGTTTTAAACGAAGAAGATTCGAACATGAAAATGGCAATTGTCATCCTAATTGTGCGTTATGTCGTCGCCATGACTGTGCTGATTTCGATTCCGATGAGGATTCGTAATCAATAGGCCTTGATTTTCTTCACTGTTTATAACAAATCATCTCATTAGACACATCATGCGTAGAATTCTTATTCTTGTTAGACAAATTCTTTTAAATTCATAATAATAAATCTCCTCTGGTTATTTCTTATGATTCTATCAGAACATATGTATGTAACGCCAAATAGTCACACGAACATTGAAAACAGAGTAATGGTATCAGAAGATTGCTGCATTCTCTGATCTCAGAATTTTCCTCATTTTTTTAGGTAAGTCTATAAAGCAATTTCCAGTTACTTATGACGATCGTTTTGGAATGGGCTTTAATCTACCGATCTCAGGTAGAGTCGGAACTAAGAGGATCTGCAATATTCATGTTCAAATCATGTGAAATAAACATCTAATCATTTTCACTTACGCAACTGAAAATGATTTCATATGATTTTTGTATGATTTAAAACGAGTTGAGATTTCACGAAGATCACACGATTTGTAATAATTTCTGCGTGTTTAATGTAATTTATTTTGAAATTTGAGTTATCTTAGCCAGTTGTTTGCCACTTTTGATACTTGATACATGCATTGATTTGTATATGAACTAGATACATACACAGTGTTGATAATTAAAAGACAGTGGAAATGGTAAAAGAAATTTATTTGTAGAATTTGAACAAGATCAATATAAATGTGAATCATCGATTCAAAGCAAGAATAGCTAAGCAACTCTAAAAAAAGCAGAAATGGAAAGCGATAAAAGCATTAGTATTTTTCTCAAAGATTTAATAGAAATAAAAAGCAATATTCACGATAAATTTTCTGTTACGGGTTCAACATATCCTCGACGATTTCTAATGTATTGACAAATTTTCCAATATAGAAGTAAAACATACCAAATAACAGATTTCAACCCGACTGTTAATCCACCATACAATCCAAGAATTGTTGTTATCATATACAAAGGACTATTTCTTTCGGTATAACTATATCGACATGCTAATGGTGCACAAGTAGAATAATAACTTGAATAATTACTTGAATTTTTCCATATTTCAATAAATAATTCATCAATTAATGTACCAATAGAACTTAATGGTATTGGATTAAAACGCGTTTCTATCGAATCATTGAGAGGTTTTAAAACATCAGTAATGCCGATAAAATCAGTTAAACTTTTCAAACAAGTAGAATTGTAAAAACATCGAAGAGAAGAGAAGCGAAGACCATATATTGGCAAACATCCCATTACTATTCCTATACAAATCAAACTTATACAAGAGGGTTTCTGTTTTGTTTTCTTTTATATTACCGTCTACTGTTTTGTTAATTATAAGTCCTGTCTGAAAAGTTGATCTTGTACATGTTGATGAAGTTGCGCATGAGCACATCTGACCACTTTCATTGTAAGCTCTAGAACGTGTTGATAACATAGAATCATTAGCCGCGTTTGATTTCGTTAAAGCCCAATTGGTGAGAAATGTATTTTGTAATTGATTTGTACGAAGTACACCAATGATATGACTGAGTGTTTGTCGAAAATCTACTGGCGATTGACTGATAAAATTTTCAATCATTGAATTGACTTGTGTCTGAAACGATAAACGAGTGAACGGTTCAATGGTAATCAATCTTTGTGAATAGAAAATATCAATCTTTTGATCAATTGCATTCTTAGCAAGAGTGCACAATGATGATAGAGTACGCAATTGAGCACTTAAGACTTTTGCATCGAGATACAGGATATAATCTCCTACTGTGTCTGTTCCCCATATTCTCTTTAGAAACGTCGAAGAAATAAAATAACTTGAACAAATTTGATGGTAAGCTGAGACGTTGACAAAAAGAAATTGTGAATATGGAATAGCAACTTGTGAACATGGACAAGATATGGTTGATGAATATTGAATTTTTAAGAGTTCAAACGTCGATTCTCTTGGAGATGAAACAGTTTCAGAATGAACTTGTGTACTGAAACTAATGAACACGAGAATAATAATCATTGATAAACAAAAAATAATCAAATAGAATCGTGTTGCTTTTTGCTGACGATGAATTAATATCACATCACTTGGTTCATTATTCAACTTTTTACGATACAAATTTAATTGTCGAATACGAATGATGATATCTGATGGTTTGATTAAAGTTTGCGATCGGTTAGAATATTGGCAATGATATATTCGTCGAAAGAATTTAACGAATAATGGAATTAGAATTCGAAGGGCAATAGACAAACCACCAGCAATACCTAAAATAGTTGAGATCAGATAAAGCAGATTAAAACGTTCCTGAAAAGTGTATATGCATTCAGTTGGTGCACAATGATGATAATAGTTGATGAAACTAACAGAATCTGTCCAATTTTCAATGAATAATTGAAAACTAATTTCATCTACAGTCATATCGATCGGAAAGCGACTATTAACGGATGGATCAAGTGGAGTTACTTCAGCAGCAGATGCATTGATTACAACGTTTGGTATTTCAAATAGAATCCAGTCATAAAGCATTTCAATACAAGAAGCATTGTAGAAACATTCAAGTGATGAGATAAGTACAGAATCCATCGATAAACAACTGACAAATAAGCCAGGTATTGTTTGGTTGGGCTTTGATGTAGATGAAAGACAACCAGCTCTTCGACAATAGAATCCTTGAGGACGTCTACACGAACTATTTGTACCGCATGAGCATTGATTTTCATAATCATTTGCCGAATAAAATCGCCAGACTAACGTAGTGGGTGTTATGATTGTCACAAATCGGGCATTAGTACTTCCACTAACATAAAATTGATTTACCTGAATTGCATTTCGAAGAAGTTGAAACGACTGACGAAACAAAACAATGGTCTAAATTAATCAAAAGACAATCTGAATAAAAAAAAAGAGCAACCTTTTTATTTTTGATTAATACTTGATTTTGAAATTGTTGGATCAAAGTATCCATTTGAGATCGAAATATAACTTCTGGTAACACTTGACCACTAACAAATTGTGTATCATTGAAAGTAGTCAATTGATTAGTTATAGTTGTATTTGCCCCTTGACATAATAAATCCAGTGATGCAAACCATGACAAATATTGCAGACGGAAATCAAACGGATTGACTATACCAATATACGGGATCTTTTTATACAATAATAAAAACTCTTTAATAAAAACTCTTGAACATATTTGATGGTAATATGGTTGAACAGTTACAATTGCTGAATGAGAAATTGAAAATTGGCTACACGGACAATTAAGTGTCGATGAATATCGTGCAAATAGTTCTTCATATTGGTCTATTGTGGGTTTAAGAATTGTTACACTTCGAGTTCGAACAGAAATTGCAATATAAACAACTAAAATGATTATTCCAATAGTTAAAAATAAAATATAGAGACGAGTTGAATAAATTCCATTTTGAACATCAGAAGACTGAGGAAATAAATTCAGAGTGCGAATTTCTTGACAAATTTGATTGATAAATTCAATACAACGTTCTTTTCGACGACCTAATCAATAAGTTTCAACAATACAAAAAAGTTGTGAAAAGAAGCGAATGTTTACTTTTCTCATTTGATGTTGATTGTTCACTTATATTTGAAAGACGTTTTTTCTTGATTCGCTGTAGAATTTTAACAATTAATGGCGCTAAAAAATAGGTAACCGTTTTTAAACCACCAAATAGACTAGTTAATGTTAAAATAATAAAAACCAAACTGAATCTTTGATTGTATAAATACGTGCAAGTAGATGGTGAACAGACATGATAATAATTAGTGAAGTTAATATGTTCATTCCAAGATTCAATCAATAAATTATCCAGTAATTCATTTATTGTAGTATTAACTGGAAAATTGGATGATGAAAGTGGCTTTATTAACGGTAAAATATTGATAAATGTTCGAAATGTATCAATACATTGTTGATCAAAGAGACATTCTAATGTAGATTTCAATAATGAATTATAGGGTAAACATCCAACCAACATACCAGGAATGGAGAATAATATTGGTGGATCAGTATTTAAGTTGCCAAAAACTGTATTGATATCCACTCCACTTCGTCCTGTCCAATTGTAAATACCGGCTTGATGTACACAACTGTCTAAACCATAGCACGAACAAGATTTATTCACACCTGCGTAGATCAATGAAGCTTCATATCCACTCCCAGCTGCATTTGGGCTGTACTGTATAGCAATGTTCGTACGTAATGAAGACAATATTCGATTTCCGGTAATAGTGAACCAGATAGTTTCACGCATATATCGATTATTAGCGATTGTATTTATTTTCATCTGTTGAAAAAGTCCTGTGATTTGAACTTCAAAAATATCGCGAAATAAAACTTCATTGCTAATGAACTGTTTCGCAACAAATTCCTCGAGTTTACTTGATATTGTTTGTTGAAGTGATTGACAAAAGAGAGAAAGTATTTGAAAATGAGACGCCATCATAACTCGATAATCCAAAGGCCAATATTCGCTCATTTTTGCATCGAATAAAAATAAAGAAATAAATGATTGATTGGTCAATTGACTCGAACATATTGGATGATAATGAGGATCAAATGAAATAAAATTCTTTTGTGATATTGATGATTGTTGACACGGACATGAAAGTGTAGTGCGATAATGAAGAGATAAATAATCAAAAAGTGCTTCTGATGGTGATTCAACTGTCTCACTGTATGTTTGAACACTAACAGCAGCAAAAATCGTAATGATAAAAAGAAAACTAATAAAGAAGAAAAGAAAAATTTGTGTCGAAAGTAGCTGATCGACAAGAGATAAATTTTCTTTTTCATCGTATAAATTGATTTTGCTAAACAGAGTACTGAGCTGCTTACATCGATTTACTTGCTGTTCAGGTGTTGTTTCCGTCATTTTATTGAAATAAGTCTAGATTCTTTCTCTTAATGGAACAGATTGTAACTTTTTTCAAAGCATATTTGCAACAAATAGAAGTGAATCTTTTAAAAAAACATGACTTTTTCCAAATGAATTACTTAGCATAGATGTATATTTTAGAACACAATCTAAAGTAATGAACTTTTTTGTAAACAAATTGTCATGAATTTATGCTTTGAAAACTTTGCTCATGTCTTACAATAATGTAATTAAAATTCAAAGGTTGTGTAAATGTAATTGCAGATTCGTAGGAGTCTACGTTTCAAAGTCCGAAAAGTATTTCTTTCGCACATTATTAATTCTGAATAAAATTTATGTCAAAAAGGAACGAAATACTACTGCTCAGTAGGATTTTAAACAAAAGTATGTTGTTTTCGTAAATGCAAAAGAAATTTTCTCAACAAAAAACTCTCTTGAATGCGTACTGTTAATTGAGTTCCATTGTTCTATTGGTTCTTGTCTTTGTTCCTTGATACCTATATATCCTCATGAACAAAAATAATTAAATTTGATATTTTCTTCATAGTTTTACGATAGTTTATCCCTTTTAACAAAATAAATAGCTGTTCGAATAGTCTGGCAAATTCTCTACAATGCTCTATAAATACATCTTCAATTGTACAACATTTTTTATCAGATTTCTCCAAAAAGAAATTTTCCTTTAAAACTCATTTCAAAGACACATATACAAGAGATACGGAGGAGCAAAATCGAAAGAAATTATAGAAATTTCTTTTTCTTTCCTTCTTTCTCAAATATATATACGTTTTGTCTAACTCAGTTTGAAGAATCGACGGACATATCGTTGAAAAACAAAAAGAAAAAAATCAACTTTTTCCCCTAAACCACCTCGGAATTTCATTCACTTTCCAAAATTTCTATAATTTCTTTCAACTTCCTCCTCCTTGTCTCTTTTTAATGGACATGAATAATGATTCAAAATTGAGATTTCAATAACTGTTGAAATTTCTGGGTGGTTAAATTGTTGTTTTGTTTTTTCGCTGGAATTTCAGTTTTGTATGGTATTAGAATGTATAGATATTTACAGAAATTTCCTTTTCTGGAAATCTGAATATACGTCACGATTCTATGAGAACATGTTTATGACAATGTAAATGTTGACAAGAAAAAGATTGGATAGAAGTATCGTTCGTTAGAAGAATGAGAATCTTATTTTTATCTTTCAACATGTTTACCGAAAGCAAATATCATTTTCTTATGAAAGAAAGAAACAATTCTACAATTATCCAGCAATGATCGAATCTATTTGATATTTGATCATCTTTGGAGAAATGAAATTTTCTATTCACTTTCAAATCTGAATTATCGAATGGAACGATTCACCAATCTTCGATCACTTTCATTGATCAAATTTGCAAATCAATCATTAGGTGGAATCCTATGAAAATTATCTGTATTGAAACAATGAGATGCTCTGTCCTTTGAGAAATCCGATGGAAAAAGGATCAATATTGAATGGGAAACTAAATAATGCCTACGTCTTCAAATGACCATGTTTATTGTTACCAGAGTTATGTCCTGAAATCATTCCTCAATTGAAATATTTCTGCACAAGTTATTCACACGTATTAAAATCGATGAAGTTTTCAAATTTACTTCACTTAGAATTGAATTCATTTTTCTCAATCCCACCTCAAATGAATGAAATCGTTCGAAATGCTTCTCAACTTAAATCTCTCACTTCTCAGTATTATTATTCAGAATATTTTGACATCAGTCGACCAAAGAATGTATTATGAGAGGTGAAATATGCCATCATGAACAAGATCTGTTGGGTAGAATTTCCAAAAACGTACAAGAGTATATTGAACAGCAATCGAAAATACCAAACAAATTAGCTGAAACAAGACCTGTCGGATCTTTTCTTAAACAAGTGGCACAACTCTTGAAAAGTTGTTTTGAAGCGAGAAAAGACATTAAGTCTTCTCATCATATAAGTACTATGGCATAAAGAACCATACGGAACAGAAATACACAAGACAACGCTTTCTCTATCCCGTCCCGTTTTTCTTCTGACACCCTCACCCACACCCTCATGAACTACGATTATCGTAAACTGAATTGTGTATCAAATTGAGTGATTCTAATGTTTTATTTGTATTCAAGAAATCAACAGTCGATTGAAAAGCTGACTCAGATATGTCATCAGATGCCATAGTGATAGTAACTTTAATGAAGGAGAAAGAGAAGAAAGAATACTTGCACAGGATTGATTATCAATGGGATTTTCAGTTAAAGACAAATTCCCTAAACGACTTTTCGACAAGCATTTGCATAAATAACGTATACCTTCGCCGTCAATTTGACATTTTCATAATTTAAATAACTAAGTTTTGGAACTATGTTTTAGAAAAGATCCAATGTGTATTTCATCGCCTCAGTACAAATTTTGTTTTCATAGATTTCCAAATGTTGCACTCATGTATCATATTATTATCAAGAAAAGCTTTGAAAAAATGTTTTTGTATTCCTTCATTGATATCGTTTTCTCCGAGATGAAGTTCAGCAACACGAATATCACAAGTTAAAATATCATATGTATTAAGTGACATAGAAGAATTCAATTTCATATTTATTGACCAATATTCAGTTGGGTTTTTCTTCAATTCATTGTAGAATTCAAGTAAATCATAATCTCGTTATTAACAGCAGCTTGATTATTCGTCAACGATAGTTTGTCTCATAAGAAACAGGTAAGAATAGTAGTGAAAAGAGGAGAAGAAAAGTAAACGAATCTGTAATTACTTACCAAGTGTTTTCTGCCTACATGAAACGATGAAAAAACTCTCGAACCATTACAATTATCATAAAATAACTATTTTTTTGTGCTTTTTTAAATTTCGCTAACTACTGTATCATCGAAAAGTGTTTATACATATTATATGAAGAGGAGGAAGAAATAAGCGTTCAAACATTCACCTACAACATAAAAAATGAGCGTCATTGAACCAGAAGAAGAAACGAATGTAGGCGACAAGAGCGGATACGTCTTAAACAAAGTTTCATAATGCAAAATCACTAGTAGAATTTACAAAGTGTACAACTGAGACTAAGTACCGAAAAAAAACCTTTAATTGGAGAATGAAAAGTCTGCAGTCTCTTCAGTGTACTGTAAGAATAATTTTTGTATATTATCTATAGGAAGATATGTCGTCAATCAATGAAATGAGACAATTTTTACCAGATTTTCCGAATTTAATTCATTTTGAAATCAAAATTTTGGAGAAAATCATTGGTGTGGATATGTATGATGGAGATCAATGGGAAATGAGTACACATTCATTTTTAACCTTCAAATTTAAATTTTGTATAGACGAAATAACACCTGAACAATATTTGAATTTCTTTCGAACACAATTTTGGATTACTTCGGCCAGAAATTCATTCTTCTTCGTCTTTCTATTTAACAATACCAGATCATTCAATTATTTACCATCATTCATTGATCTAAGTCAAGTTGAATATCTTTTAAGTATGTCCTTCATCTCGTATTCTTTGTTGAAATATATTTAATATTAGATTTACACCTTAAACTTTACGTGTCATTCATATCCATCGAAAATCTAAAAAATCTTTCCAATCCAAGGCCTAAAATGATGAAGCAAATTCAAATATTGAAGATTGGTTATGATACTTTTTCGAACAGGTATGTTGGGAGATTAATTTATTTATTTCCATCAATTGAACATATTTCTGAATGGACTGTTCAATCAAAATCAGATATCATTTATATTATTGATCGATTCAAACATTTAACAAGTATTTCGTTTTTTTTATCGATAAATCAGTGAACATGACAACATCGGAATTGAATGCTTCTCAGAAAGCAAATGAAGATCTGGATGAATTCATTTATGGCTTGAAGATCGAGTTATAATAGGAGAAATCTTCTTGAATAATGATCATTTTTGTTCTAAATTGATTTTCTTTTTATTCATCAAATGATCACCTGCAAACGCGATTTCACAATTGATGTTATAGGATGAAAAACTTATACGCCAAAGCTGAAAGTCATTCGTGATATTTACTATTATAGTTGCTGATGTTAGAATTTAAAAGACTTTTGTAAAGAAGAACGTTCATCACTGTTTTCAGCATTATCAGTTTTTCATCAAGACAATTAGTAAATCGTGATATTTCGATTGTTTGGGGAGACAAAGTCCGACAATTTAAAAAACGAAATAAACAGTTGCAAATTTCTCGAGCAGAATGATTTTCGCAGCATCTTTTTGTAGATATAACTTCTATTTTCACCTATATATGGATGTAGGAAAATGATAATATTTTTCCCACGTTAACAAAAATCACACCATGTGACTTTCGAAATACAAGAAAGAGAAATAAAAAGATATTACCTTATCCAACAGAGTATTGACTATCGTCTTAAGCGATTGCTAATAATCATTATTCATTCATAACTTTATTTCTATACTGTCGATATGTTCTAAAAGCGGAAACAGTTTTTTCGCATGAAAAACCAAGACAATTCGAAATGTTCGACTATAAAATACCAATTCACTTTATTTGAACAATTATCCACAGAACTATTTTACGATATATTCGAATATTTTTGGACAGAAGAAATTTTTCATTCATTTTCGAATCTTAATCATCGAATTAAATCAATCATCGAATTGTATTATGTCCATCGGATCAATTTTCAATCGATACGCAAATCGACTTTTCATCTCATTTGTCAATCGATTCTTCCTGAACGGGTTTCTTCATTGGTTCTTTCGGATCAAAATGATACATGTGGTCAATCGAAATTCTTTTTATTACATTTTCAAATTGAACAATTTACAAATCTCCGATCAATTAAATTGATAAAACTCGAACATGAATCATTATGCAGATTATTACCGAATTTATTTAAACTCAAACAATTACAATCTCTTTCATTGAACAATTCTACCAGAATACAGATGCATATTAATTCTGAAGATAAGAAAGTGCCACGTATGCTCGATTGGTCACCTTTACATCAATTGTGTAACCAAGTTTTTCCTCAATTAACCAACTTATCTACGATTTATACAACAAATCTAACAACGGTGCATTTTCCAAATTTACTTCACTTGGACCTGTGCACCATCGACAGAGAAGTTTATATCAGGAAAATCTTTCAGCATGCTCCTCGACTAAAGTCTCTTACGATTGATCTCATTTATTTCCGCGAATTTACTATGAATCAACCGTGTTATTCTTTGAAACAACTTAATGTAACAAGTACACGTAAGTATAAACATCTAAAATGATCATCCGGTAACTTAGAAGAAGGGCAATCGTAATATATCACAATGTTGAACATTCGTGAATTAATAGTTCCGACCGATTTCGAAATAATCTGAAAGAATGATCGGACAAAATACCAAATTGAAGGAACTGATTTTTGAATGTGCAGCATTAATGAGTAGAATGTATCTTTCTTTCTGAAAGTAAAACGATTTTCGTATATTATTATTAGACACGAACACGTTCATGCACGATATGAAAGATGTTTTACAAAATTTTCCAAATTTAGTTCATTTTCAAATTCAAATTTTGAATATTTCTCTCCATTGTGATGTGCTTAATGGGCGTCTATGGAAAAAGATTGCGCAGCCATTTTCAACATTCCATTTCAAATTTTTTGCCTTAAATGATCTAAATGAACAAGTTTTGAACTCCTTNGTCGCTTCTATTTGACTCATAAATGCATCCCAAAGTGCACCAACGCCTCTTGCATAACTAACATCACCAATATGTAATATCGCTGTCACATTGTTTGTTATAACTCTTGTTAATACTCGATCAATTGTTGGTTTGGCGCCTGATTGGATTGGTGATACACCCATATCACCGTATGCAATTAAATTAACTTCGTCATCAATCGATGATGGTCGATTAATAAACACATTGACTTCTGACCAACCATGTTCATCACTTCCTACACGATAGTAATAAATTGTTGATGGACGAAGATCTTGTAAAAGCATTGTATGCATATAACCAGAATTAATAAATGTCTGTGGTCCGGTAATGTTTGCTTTTCCTTCACACATATCTGATGCTTGATAAGTAATTGAAGTACCACTAACTTGAAAATTAAGCGAAGACGAATCAAAACCGTATTGGCATTTTGGAATGATTTGGTTGGAATTCGTTAAATATGAAACATAAATCTGATCATTTCGATCACCAAAAGCTAAGTGTATATGAACGGGTTCATTGTAATTCAAAGGCTCTACAAGGGGAGATTTCGCAATAAATTGATAAGTCCCATTACAATTGGCATCACGTGAAAAATAACGAAATTCAAGTTGATGACGAAGATTAATCATCAACCATGTCGAATTACTTTGACTTTGTTGCACCACTTCAAAATCCAGATAGCTACAGGGTTCGATTAGAGGAGTTTCAACAAAATAAGCACCAATGAAATCATCTTGACATGGATTTAGCGATGGAATCCATGAGACATAAATCTCTTCGTTATTCGAATAATGTGTCGATGAAACTTGCAATTCGCTTATTTGTATACGATGAGTTAAATATTCAGAAATCCCAATACTTCGATTACAATTGTATGGACTTGGTATGTCGACTGTTAAATGTCTTTTTCCAAAAGGTCCATTCACATATAAATGTTCTTCACATTGAATAATATTAACGATGAAAAGCGCAAAAAGTACTAGATGGCCGACCAACTTCATGACGCTACTTCAAGTTTTATCTTCAGTCTGAAGATTTTTATGTGAAAAACATTCAAAATCTGAATCGCTATAAAAACAAAGAAAAGATGTTTTATCTTTGCACACGCTGATAAAGTCAAAAAAAAAACTTTCTTCCTTCATATTCCAATGATTCGAATTAGTTCGTTTAATCAATTACCAACCGACTTATTTCATTGATTAAATTTGAATATTTTTGGACACATGAAATTTTTACAAAAAACATTATCATATCTGAAAGAATCTCATATGCCATTTTACTCTTTTTTTCATTGATTTTTAATCTTTAGTCTTATTTCGATTAATCCAAATAAATAATCTCCACGATTTATGATCATTATCGAAATCAGTAGTTATATATTTATACCAAGTTTTTCAACTTCTCTTTTAAACAAAGATAATTGCTGATTCTTCAAACATCGATTCACTTCTATATGAGCTAATTTGAATAAATGTTTGATTAAAAATAATATATCTAATTTATTTAAAGCACATTTAAATCCTTCGATGTGTTCGAATATTTGAGACATCCGTTGTAATTGATGTGAATGAATATATGAGTTATATAAAATATCTAATTGTAGAATACGTTTATTGAATTATTGCCATATTTTATCATCGTCGAATCAACTTATTAAATCAAGTCAACCGATCCTTAATAACGAAAATTGTGTAGCAAATTTTTATATTTCTTTAAATATATCTCATGTTTTAAATAAAAATCATCTGAAGTATTCAAATGTTTGACATTTGATAAGTTGAATTTTGTTTGAATATCTTTTAAGTGTAAAGAACTCATCGTGCCATTATGAAAACATGAGAAATAGCGACCTTCAAGTAATAAGAACTCAATCTTCGAAAAATGATATTGATCACTTTCTGATAATAAGTACAATTAATAACAACTGAATATTTAATATCGATTCTGAAAGTGATTTTAAAGGTAAGATTAATGTTTGTAACTGTGACATTGGTAATATAAATAGAAAATCATTCGTTAATGTAGGACAATCAATCGTTCGAAAAGTAGACAATTCAGGTATTAATACGCGGACGTACCGACTGAAGTATGAACACAAAGATGTGACACTTCTTCTGTATCGGGAAAATACTTGGTTTTCTTTTGCTCATAAAACTTTTCAAAATCGGAGAAAAGATTCTTTTAACAACTTTATGGAATAATTGGTGTTGCGCTTTCTCTCTCTGCTTTGAACACTTTGGTTTGTCTCCGAGTATTAATAACAATTTCGATCGAGTTGATTTTCAATTATTTTCTGTCATTTTGTGTGAAGTTAATAAACGAAAACAAGAAAATTCTAAAAGTGAAAAGTTTGAAATAAATAAATAAACAGGATAACAGGTATTATTATTTGAAAAAATGCAATGCATAAAGTTGAGTTTTCATTGTTTCATTATTTGACAATTTCATGCAAAATTGTTCACGTCGAAATTTATTATCAATATTTTCAAAATTCAGACTAAATGGAATATTTCGTATAAGAGAATTGAAACGATCATTTAATTGATCAAATGAATAGAAAATAATCATAATATTTCATTCGGTAAAATTCAAATTCCATTTGAGACATTGTGTTGATAGGAGTGAAAAAATGATGTTTTTGTTGTAATAATAACAAATGAGTCATTCGAAAAAAGTAGTTACTTATGTTCTAAATATAAAATATATCCAGGAAAATGATTTGTACACATTTTGAGGGTAAAGATATAGATATAATTTAAACGGAAACATCCAGATGCTCGAAAAATCTGGTAAAACAAAAATTCATAAGAAGAGTTTTGTTTAAGATTCTTAATTAACAATGTAAAGTATCGCTAAGACGAAATGTATTAAACTCATAATTTTGTTGTTTAATATCTCATTGTCGGAGAATTTGGACTGAATTCTACAGAATAAATCCATCTTATTTTAAAATTCTTTGTATAAGAATATGATTTGTCGAGGAGAATTTATTTGTGGTTTTCCTATATGAGAAGATAACTGTATATGTTCTCATTTTATTTGCTTCAGAGATGTAAGATATCTATCGATTATTAGTTCATATCCTGAAAAGAAGCGTTAATATACATTCTATACAGAATATTTTCTTAACAATAAATGAAAAGCTGAGTCATGATGCATCTGGATCATATGTATAAATTGCATTCATGGGTGCATTCTTCGATCTTTTAGAAAAGGTCTCGTTCTAATCCCCATTTGTTTCTCTTCTTCATATTTCTGTTGAAATCTATAAAGAAAGAAAAGGCGTGTTCGTTATCACATCCATCGATGTATTGATGCCAAGGTCCTCTTAGTCCTGGATGGGATTGAGGAAGACGTGTACGCATATCTTCTTTTTTTCCTTCCATGAAGAAAGACCATTTAATTTCAATATCAATTCGTTTGATATGATCGAAGGATTTCATCCATCGTTGATCGAGCAGCATCTTTTCAAATTTATTTTCATTTACCATAATTGGCCCAGCTGAAATTAACTCGAGATTTGGTAGTTTTTGCAGAATTTCATCAAAATCAGAGACTTTTATGCTAGTGTCTGTGAACGTTATCATTCTTAAGTTTTCAAAGATGCTTTGCGGCAGTAATGAAGAAGTGTTGCGAGTCAAATATGTTACTTGTAGAGAACGCAAACAAGATAATCGGTGAAGAATAGAATGAAGGCAACTTGTTTGAAGTCTGGTTTGAACATTGAGATGAACAATAGAGTTATTTAATGGTACAGGATCAATCGCCAATATATTTTTAATACCACAACGACGTGCTTTGATAATACAGACGCGAAGTGTGGGTAACGAAACGATAACCGAAAGTGTACTTGAACTATGACGTGAATATTCGCATTGAATATTTAAATATTCGAGATGAACAAATTTTGGAAGAATTGAAATAATAGGAGTGTTATCATAATCATCCACATTAATTGTGAGAGATTGAAGTTGTTTAAGCTGAGAGATATGTAAATCAATAAATCGAGAAACGTGTGTATGATATGAGACATCACTCAACGATCGAATATTTTTAATAAATATATGTGGAAATTCACTCATATTTTCATTCACACACAAATGTATTTGAACTTGTGATGAATGAAGAAGACGATCAAAGAATGAGTTAAGATTTGCGAAGGCTTTGATCAAATCATAGCCTTCCAAATACGAAAATATAATTAAGAGTAATTCAACAGGCAATTGTTCCAGACGTGTTGTTGAATGCATTATCTGATAGTCAATACTGACGCATGCACACATCTGTCTATGCAATAGTCGAATAGAGAAGAAAAAAATCACCGTTTTTGTTCTGTTCTATCCTATTTTTATAAAGATATCGAGTGACAAAAAAAATAACCAAGCGCATACAACGATATTGTGAGGATTTTGTTGGAAAAGATTAATGTGCTGTTAGAAACATGTTTTTATTCGTTCCTTTCCTCCTGAAATCATATTTTTACACATAAAACATACGCGTATCATGGCAATGAAAGTCAGCTTTTGTAATCTAGCTTTACTCTCTCTCTCTTTTCCAAAGATCGTTAATACTTTTCCGTGTTAATGTATCTCATGGTAGAGATCAGCTTGTGTCCGACGACAGATAAAAGTGTGGTATGTATGACACTAACGTTCCAAATTATAGATTTGAAACCAAAAACAAATCTAGTATTAGAAAGGAATGAAAGGAGCATTTCAATGTATCTAATAGTTTTCAAGAAAAAGAGTTATTAGTGGACAAATGATCTTTTCTCGTATTCAATGATTCATTGTGATCTTATTCTGTGAAATATAAATTTATCCTTTCGTTAGCACTGACCCTTTTGACGCTGTGATCTCATTTATATAAAACTTATTGTATCTCATTACGGGAAGAAAAGATAATATTCGCTGGATAATTTTAATCCAACTTAAATCGATGAAAAATGACTCGGGGCTTTTCGCACGTAGGAACCAAGTTTTTTGTTCATCGAAAGTTTTTTCCTAGAACATAACGGTTTTTTGAAGTGAATAGACTCTATGATGATATAGCATTTGTGTAATTCAATCCGAAAATGAATAAAAGAATCTATCAGAATTCTTCAATTTAAGCTTCAATTATTTCGCGGACAGTTTATTATATTAAAGAATACCATTGAAGAATTCTTCCATTACCCGTCATCACATTTGTGCGGTAAACTAATACGGCCTTCGCGGATAACATAGCTTCTGATAAGCATCGACCTTCGTCTTTGTGGAGAGTTACGGTAGAAAAGTTAATTTGCGATTTACTTCTCGGATCCCATTCATCCAACAACATTGGCATCTGTTCCAACAATATTGCTGTCACACGACCACATTTCAGCGTAAACTCTTCTGGTCTAAATAAAAAAAAACAGAATTATGTCAAACTGAAAAAACAACAACTGCTATCGATAATATGCAAACTAATGTAAATAAATCGTAAGCTGTAAAATACCTAGACGACGATCCAAAATACATAGGAAACTGTGATTGTAACTGTTCCTTATAATAATCGTTAGGATACATGTCCATCATAGAACCACCAACTGATTTCATATGAATAGATTTTAGCCTTGCTCGAATGCACCTATCTCGAAAAGATTCCATTGTAGTCTTGTATTGATGTTTAAACTGCGCCAGACCAGGGTTGTTATAGTCAGGTGTGTTCTCTGCAATAACTGTTCCCTTTTCTGAAAGAAAGTGTTATAGCCACGTTAAAAGTTTGTTTGTCCAAGCCAATCAGAAATTAGGATTTCTTAAATCATCGAAATTTATCCTTATCAACTAGAGACCGATTAGTAAATAGGTAATCGAGGTCGAAAAACTCGAATCCGTTGATAGTTTCTTCTTACTCATTAAGATCCATCTTCTTCCTTTTTTCTTTCTAAAGCAGATATTTTTCTGTACCTTTTCTAAAATCTTGTATAGAAGGTAGTGAATGAAACGTTATTTCTGGATATGATGTGTGCAAAGATAATGGTTTTGGCCCTTGCACCAAAAGATTTAGCATATATTACATTATCATTTTTGCCATTCAAGAAATCAACAAAAATAGTATGAAGATTTTATTAAAACTGTATTGAATTTAGGTTGATGCTTTGTTTTTAGTCTATTCATTTCAAAAGATTGAGTCAATTCGTCATAATTGTTCACCAATTGTATTGCTTGATAAACTTTCATGTCTTCCAAAAAATATTTCATTTGATCAAAAAGTAAACACTTTCATATTCAATTGATAAATATTAAGAAATCATCGATATTTAAAGGATTAGCATAAAATATGTTTATGGATCATTAATGAGTAAGAAAAGAATTTAGTTCAATTTTATTATATTTAGAGCAAGTTATTCCGTCATCAAATCCGCCAGAAAATCCACTATTTGATCCGATATAAATATTGATTAAAAGATAAAAACCCATAAAAAAAACTATTTTTGCTGTCATTTACATTAAATTCCTTTCTTCCTTCCAATATCATTTAGTATTGATCATCGTTTGTTATCCACTTGTAACGTTTGTCATCAATGTACTGTTTGAAATTAGTGCTATGCTACTGATGTGGAAAACAGGTGAGAGTAAAGCTAGTGAAACGAGAAATATCACGACGATTCCAATGATTTTCATACCAAGTCCTGCCACAAGTAGATCTCTACTTCTCATATTACTATTCATAAATATCATTGCATTCGGCGGAGTAGCTATAATGACATAAAATCAGATAAATCTTGATGGAAGACGACACAACTTACCAATGGGTAACATGAATGACAGTGAAACAGCCATACACGATGGTAATATGAGACGACCTGGATGAATATTTGCTGTTTTCGCCTAGAAAATCGTCCAACGAGATATTGATGTCGATTTTAAATCAAATTTTTCTTCTTACTATACTATCCAAAATAGGAAACAAAATACTGGCACAAGCAAGATTACTTGTAAATTCAGTAAATACAGCACTAATGACAGTAACAATGAGGATGATGGCAGCTTGAGGTGCTCCAACAATAAAGTGAAGAAAAGTGGCAATAGTACTTGACAGATCTGATGCCTACAATGATACATGTAAATAAAATGAATTCCATAATTTCATCACCGTACCGTGAATCCATCAGCAATTGCTAAACCTGCACCTTGCAGCATAAATACACTCCAAGGAAATGCTTTAGCTAGTTCATTCCATTTAAGAATAGGATGATATTCCCAATCTGAAACTTTACTACTGAACGGATTTTCATCAGGTAGAATCAATGGAAGACAACCAATGAGCATAGCAGTCGTTCTATCCGTTACATAACTAAGTAGATAATGAAAAAAGTTATTCTTGAGATCAATATATCAGCGCCATTTTACTTACTCCTTTCGAAACAAAATATCCCATCCCCGATAACTTGAAAAATCACGTGTGATCCAAAGAAGGATAACCGTAACAAACAATATTGTAATAATATATTCTCTCCAGCTAAATACACCTAATTCTTCTTGCTGTTGTTTAAGAATAGACTGCAAATTGTTTGCCGATTCAACCACTTCTATCTTCAATTTTTTAATTTGAAAGAAACTAAAATGAACATATAGAATAAAAAAGAAACTGTTTTATCGAGTAAGATATATTACCTTTTACGATTATACAAGATTTCTAACCATAACCAACCAAGAACAAGCATGATCATACCGATTGGTAAACCATACAGAAGAAAGTTAGCAAATGAAATTTGCAGTCTGATATTTCCACTGGCATAGTATCTAATAAGAAAAGAACAGGAAAAGATAAAATAAATAAACATTGTTTTCTATCTTACTGATCACTGAATCCTTTAACGAAAATATTTGGACCTGTTCCTACCAATGTCATCATACCACCAATAGCCGCACTGAAGACCACAGCAATTAAAAACCCTGTAAATACGGGTATTAGAGTATGTTTGTTCTTCTTTCATTATCGAATAACGATTCTTTTCTATCAAAATATTTAGTCAAAATTCTAATTTTCTCTTAATGGATCATATATAGATGAGTAAAAAATATTTTACGTGATATGACTCTACTCTGTATATACTATACCTGTTTCAAGACGTTTGTAGTCGATGTCGTTTGAGAAATCTTTAGATTGATTGGGATCAGATGTTGAACTAAAAAAATCACTACGTCATGTATATAATTATTGGAAACTATAAAAACTCTAGCTTTCGAGAAATCTTTTATATTATACTGAACAAGCTTGAATGTATGTAAGAAGTTAGAAAGTTTTCTTAATTAGATTCTCGCATTCTGACACCCTTCGTAAGAGCTGCGAAACAATTTTGATTAACTTGGATTTTTCAAAATACCACACTCACTTGTCCATAGAAGAATTTGATTCTACAACGATACTTTGAAGTGTGAATGTTTGGTCAGTTGTATTGTCATCTGTAGATGACGCGTTTTTGGATTCAGCTAAAAATAGAAAATATATACTGAATATGTAGCTGTATAAATAGGAGAGTATCCTTTACATTTGAAATCATTTAACATAATAGTACTGGAGTTTTGTTCGTTTTTATTCTTACTAGTTGCAACTGTTTGTTTGGTTGCCTGTTCATAGCTTTTAAGTTCATTGACAATGGCTATTGCAGTTGGTATCATTATATTCGCAGATGCTGAATTATTTATCCACATGCTCAGAAAAGCGGTTACTCCCATCAGACCGGCTAAACTCCTATAGATAACGTATGAATAAGTGTTTTGTTTTCTTTCGAAAAAATAGTAAGACAAACACATACCATGTGACTGATGCACCAACATATTTCAGTACTAATAATGCTAATCGTCTATGTAAACGAACATGTTCCATAGCATAAGCCAGAATCATAATACCGACAAACATTGTTGTAATATCCTATAGAGAGCAAAGAATAAAACCAATACCATTGAAACAATGGATAAAAAATTAACAATAAAATTTTTACTTTGAAATAGTTTAAACCGACTCTGTCACCAGGCAAAACACCACCCATTGGAAAGAAAACCAATGGTAGTAATGAAGTTACTGCATATGGCATTACTTCAGATACCCAATAAATAGTAAGAAGAATTACAATGTATGCACATCTTGCTTGCTGAAAAGTATTTAAAATAAACACAATACTTATATCATAGTATATTAAGAGTATTGTTGAATACTTACAACGGTTTTAATAACAACAGGTAATGGAAGAAGGATTAATGGAGCGAGTAAAATAAGTAATAACCGCCACCAGCGTTTGAGTAACGTCCCACCACGCAATAAAGTTAACATGATCAATTTATAACGAAAATTCTTTTTATTCTCTTTCTACGGTCGTGTTCATCTATTGTTATGTTAGTTAAATTCCATAATATTTTGCTCTTAAATACCTCATATTTATAGATTGCTACTTTATAGTAGTATATGGAGGCGTTTATCCACATCTCTACCATTAGTAATGAATACCATTTAATATGCACTTTTTCTCCCCTGTAAACAGACCAAGAAGTTCTCGTATACAGTACTCCTTTGTATGCACTCACTCATCGATTTTCTACTGAAGTTAGACTTTATTGAAATGTCATGCTTGTACTTTGCCTCGAAAATCCAGAAGAACTAACTGTTTCATATGGTTAAACTGCGAAGACGGCACTTTCATCTTGCTCTCTTTCATTTTCTAGGACAGAAAGTAAAAGCTTTGTACCATTAATCAATCTTTGTGTTAATATAAAATCTCATTCACATAATGGTGCTTTTCTTTCGACTAATGATTCTGTTATTTTTGCTCAAGACAAGACAGTTTATTGTGGTGTTAACAAACTTACAAGAAAATTGAAAAATAGAAAATATTATAGTTCTACGAATGTAGACTTTAAATGTTATGATTCCTTACAAAAAAGAAAAATAGCAAGTTTATGCATGATACAATAGATATATGATATGTAATCAATTTGAAGACTTCGGTATTTTGTTTGCATCCGAATGTTGTTTGCTGTTTCGTATTTCCTTGATCGTCTGCTCTTGCATTAATTCTATTGATATATTAGGTGTGTGTTGTTCTTTGATAATAGCTTCTTCCCATTCGGAACAAATTAAATTGTTCTCGTATTGTTCTTCTGTTGACGTCTTATATTTGTTGTATTTTGTACTATAGTTGTTTTGACTAGCTATAGAAAAACGAATATTTTTCCTAATAGCATGAGCAATACAACGCTGCATTATGTTCACTTGTTTTTTTAGTATTGTTTTTGACTTCCACTCCTCTCTCTTCCTCTTATATAAGCCTATGATTTAGAACGATAGAAGAAACCCAGCTACGGTCTAAGTGACCTTCGTTTTTACTACTTACCTTGGTAGGTGTAGTCATGAAACCGTGTCATAAACATATATACTAATCAAAATAATTTTACAAAACAATGTATATATGGTCCTTTTTTCTTTCTCTTTTTATGCAGATCGTAATTTAATGTTTGATGAAAATGGATATTTGAATGAGAAAAACAAGAATATATCGATCTATAGCTATAGTGAACTTTTCATGTCAATTATTCATTTCAATCGAGGACATTCTTGACTTCATGATCTGCAGAACTTTTGTAGTACAAACACTTGGATGACATTAAACGTTAAAGCTAAGCGTAATATAGTGGTTATTTTTTTCTTTCTCTTGAATGGTAGGAGAAAACCAATAACATGCCTAAGAACGAATGAATCATTATTCTATTGATGATTGACTCTTAAAGTCAAAGCTACTTAATTATTGTTTCACATGTAGCAGAAATCCAAGTATTTTATTGTTTATATTATGTTGTAAATTGAGATTTCTAGATTGACAATAATTTTTATCAAAAAGAAGTCTATTCGAAAGTCAAACAAAGGATTTGTTTCAATGAAGTCTATTAATACTACTTCTTCATTGTTAAACTTTATGCAGAGTGAGAATAGGGGTGGCACTTTAACTTTACTTTCAAAATTAAAGTTAAAGTTAAAGTGCCACCCCTAAGTGAGAATATGGTTGTCACATCTACATTCTCATAATCATAATGTAATAGTGTTGTTCTTATTTCTATCTGTAATTTTTCAAGTAATGTCATACATTGTTTGGTTTTTTCTAATGAAATCATGCTTTCCTTATTTATATTGCTTCAATTCCAGACATGATCAAAATCATTTGTGTTTTCATGCGAAAAGTTTTAGTTTTTTCGTCAAAGTCACAGATTTTATGTATAATAAAATCATATCGATAGATAAATGAGGAATGTAAATAAAAAAGAATCTCGAAACATTTTATTTAACCTTCATGGGTCAATCCATGAGGACCCATCCACTTTTTTGGAAAGGTTTTTATTCGATTTTTCTTCGGGTCAAACATCCGATCTCTGTTAGAAAACACTTTTGGTGAAAAAAAATTGGGTCCTATCTGCGGAAAACCTCGAGTTTTTTAGATACACCTACAGCGTTTTTCTATACATAGAAAAAATGACAGAAAAACGTCTGGACCTTAATCAAAAGCTCTTTTTCCGGAATTGTCTAGTATTCATAAATATCAAACAAGTCTAGAAACATATTTCTGGTAGGAATCAGTCTGATCTTATTGAATTTCATATGTGGTAAGTCATTTTCTATGTATATTCCCTTTTCTGAAAGAAAGGGTTATACAGCGTTTAAATGCTGTGCTAAAAAGCTTAAAGTTTATCTGTCTGTCCTGTCCAATCAGAAATCAGCATTTCTAAAATCAATGAAATTGATCGATCGTTGTTAGAAAATGATTACCGGTAGGGTAATCGAGGTCGAGGAACTTGAATCTGAGGTTAGACTTAACTAATCATTAACTATTAATTAACTAGCTGTCAACTATACATAAATTATTAATATGCAGGTAACGGTTGACCGAAGGGTAATCGGGATCGAGGATCTCGAATCCGAGGTTAGTTTCTTGAAATTCTAATTAGCTAATTGGCTAATTAAGCAATGAAAATTTTTTTTGTTGTCAAGGGTCGACCGAAGGGTAATCGAGGTCGAGGATCTCGAATCCGGTGTTAGTTTTTTCATGAACGCTTTCTGACCCGTTTTTTGCGACAAAGGCTCAATTTTTTAGACGATAATGTTTTAAGCGGCAATATGTAGAACAAAGTGTAACAGCTGACTGAGGTCCGATCGCTGGATCTCCATGGTCATCAGCATATTAATGAGATCACACACTTTTATAAACAGCTATACTATACGAATATCATCTAATACCAATCATTCAAAATAATGTTTCGCTGGTCAGGTGTTGTCTTCGACAGTCACAGTAGCACAAAGAGGGTGACTTTTAAAGAAGGAATAGAGGAGAATGAATGAATTAGTTCCAAAAGTGACTCTAGTGTGACAATCTCTCTGACGTGCGTTGTACGCGTGATACGATTTTCCTCATCTAATGGTTATCCGTATTATGTCCGTATCTCAGTCCATTTTGATGTACTTCGATATGATATATTCTTGCGTTCTCTTCTCTGTGGGCGAGTATATAAACGCGTGTCTTGTATCAGAACGATGCGATTGGTGAGCAAGAAATAAATCAGCGTAGTTCCATCAACGCATACATCTCTTCCATCAAAAATCGTCACATCTAGACTAAATGGAAGAGTGGAAATGTACATGTAACGGCTAGCCGCGAGTGGCCGACCTGAGGGAGGTCGACGAGCGACTATTCGTCGATTTCCAGAATAATATTGTTAAGAACAAACTTTGTGATTTTTATAGAGTTTTAAGATTTCTTGGTCAGAAATTAATCGTTGCTCTGCACGAACATAGCTGGTAGCTATTTAAGGTTCCTCGTGGTGGAGAGAAGATTGAAACCTTTTCCAAAGAATCATATAGCTATGTAAAGCTTCTAAATTTTTGATTATGAATTGATTTTCCGAAATGTGCTCATTTTCGGAACGCGTCTTCGTCCGAATGAAGTTAAGATAGTAAAATGAGTACGCATGGGAACAGCTAGCCGTGAGTGGCCGACCGAAGGGAGGCCGACGAACGACTAGTTGTTTCTTTTGAAAATTAGTTGAAAAGTGAGATTTATAGGACTGTCGCAAAATGTCCATAATTTTTCTAAGGTATATATATATATATATATGACATCTTTTCGAGCTTCGAGAAAAAACTATGTAGATCATCGACTTATTCAACTAAAAATGATAATAAAAGATATACTGTAAGTCACGAAGTTGTGAAGAATTTCAGCAACTTTGCTAGAGACGGACTCAACAAGAACGAGGTACTTTTTAGTATGAAAATATCAATAAACACTTATTAGATACCGACGGCTAGCCGTGAGTGGTCGACCGGAGAGGTCGACAAACGACTAGGCGTTATAATTTCAGAAGATTTCAGGAAGTGAAATGGGTCTAGGTAAAACGTTCTGACAAATTATCAAATCGTTCAACTGAAATAACTTTTTTCTCTCTTTGGACGAATAGTAGCGCTCTAATACTATCCTTTCAGTAGAGGGTTTAGCGGCTACTAGGCCGCGTTACTTGTATATATATAAAACAATAGAAATGACTTCAACTGTTGCAAAACGAAAAGATCTTTTCTCGCCAGGCGACTGGTTATATTGGAGTTGTGAGTATTTGAAAGCTCGCGAATATTTTCAAGATATTCTAAAGCAACCATCTCTAAATGCTTCTGATTTAAGTCGATGTTATCGTTCATTAGCTGCAGTCGAAGTTGAATTAAAAAATTATGATGAGGCAATAAAACTTTACGAACAACAACTTGATGTATTACAAAAAATGTCCGATATTGAAAATCAACTCGAAGCGATCACTTGGTGTTATATTTCTATTGGTAAAGTCTATTGGTTAAAATCGAACTTTGATGAAGCAATAGCATATCAACATCGAGCACTTGAACATATTCAATCTTATCTGACATCTCCAACTCAAATTTCAGCTGTTTATAAGAATTTGGCGAATATTTTTACAAGCACAAAAGAGTTTCAAATAGCACTGGAATATTTTGAGAAAGCGCTTAGTATTGATGATGAATGTCATCCAAAAAATTATCTTCAATTTGGACAAACTTATGCAAATATGGGAACCCTAACTGAGTCGCTTCGTTCGCTTTCGAAACGAAGTCAAACAATCATTTTTCTATTTAACGGCTCTACATGCACAAAATTCTTCAACAGCATTATTTGATAGATACATTAGACATCTAAGTCTACTTGGCTAAAAAATTGACAAATGAGATAGTGGATAAAGATCCCGCTTTCGTTTTCTTTACTCATTCTTTGAGGATTGGTGAAAATTTCGCAAATAAAGTTATTCTTTTCTATATCAAGAAGTTTATCATGAAAAAGATATCGAATTGGAGAGAAAAATATTTCCAACGTGTACTAGTCATAAACGAAAACACTGTTCTTCCTATAAAATCAAAGAAACTGACTCATTCAAAACAAAAAACGAAACATGACATTTTATGAGTAAAACTAAAGAAATGAGCAACACGTGAAATATTATTTTGATTTTCACTAAGAAAGAAAACAAAGAAGATTTGAAATATTCAACTATGGAACAGCAATGTACTTTATTGGACCAATTGCCGACTGAATTATTTTATTTGTTATTTGATTATTTTTGGGCTCATGAAATTTTCTTTTCATTCACAAGTCTTAATCGTCGAATTAATTCAATAATTAAATCTTATCACGCTTATCATCTTAACTTTGAATCCATTCGAAAATGTGATTTTACTCAGATTTGTGAATCAGTTCGACCTGAACAGGTCATTTCATTGATACTTTCGGATAAAAATGATACACCAAATCAATCGACATTGTTTTTATCTTATTTTCAAATTGAACAATTCACCAATCTTCGATCAATTTCATTGATAAAAATTGAATATAAATCATTGCATCGAATATTACTCGACTTATCCGAGTTGAAACAATTAGAAGCCGTTTCATTTAATTATTCCGGTGAAAGAGGAATGCACATCAAATTGGAAGATAACATAGGAGAATTACCTGTAAAAATCTGTTCACTTTCACCAAACTTTTATCAAGAAATCTTTCCACAATTAAAATCTATCGGTACAATTTATTCCGAGGAATTGACATCAATTGATCTACCAAATTTACTTCACTTAAAATTAAATTCATACTCATTAACATTCGATATGAATGAAATCTTCAAAAATGCTCCTCAACTTCAATCAGTTACATTTCTTTTCAGTCATTTCGACCATTTTATTGCAACACAATCATATAATTCGATAAAACAATTGAATTTAACAAGCGCTCGTAAGTATAAACATCTCAAATGTTCATTGCACTATCAGTCACCTTCTAAAATAGCTAAAGTTCTTTGCGATAAAGTTTCTTTATCTCTGTACAAATAAATTTGTTTGCGGAAATTGAAAGAAGTCTTTTTTTATAGATATTTCAATGCCAATTTGTAGAATTGAACAATTCTTACAAAATTTTCCAAATTTAATGCATTTTGAAATAAGAGATGTTAATGAAACGACTGATATGAGTATTCTTAATGGATATCAATGGCAGATCATTACACAAACATTTAAAACATTCAATTTTGAATTTCATGTCAAGAATGTTCTAACTGAATCCGATTTAGATTCATTTCGAACGCGATTTTGGATCGAAGAAAAACATTGGTTTGTCGTTTATCATGACCGACGTCTTTTTACTGTTTCTCTTAATGATATTGGTCTATCTGCTAGTTCTATATCTTCTGATTCATTTGTATATTTAACAATACCAAATAATTCAATTATTTATCAACCGAACGGCTCCTCTGATCATCAATTAACTTCACCTGACAAAAACTTTCGATTGAGTTCAATTAAAAATCTTCAATTATATTGGAAAAATTCGTTTGATACTTTATCATCAATTATTGATCTAAATCAAATTGAATATTTGAGAATCAGTCATTCTTCGTATCATCTATTGAAATACATTCAACATCACATGTCAAAACTTCGTACATTATATCTTTCAGATAATTTTGATAAAATGAATTCAGAAGATTCTTCTATACATGAATTACAATTGAAACAAATTTGCACATTAAAATTTAATAGTTGGAATTTTTCCGAACAAAGAAATATCACAAAATTGTCTCATTTATTTCCTTGTGTAGAACATTTACAAACCTGGTGTATTAAATCAAGATCAGATATCATTTATATCATTGGTCAATTCAAACAATTGTCAAGTATAACATTTACTATCGATAGGAAAGTCAATTCAAATAGATTGAGTCCAGAATTTACGTCGGAGTTGATTGTTAATGATATTAAACAACATTTTCGTTGTTCTGTGACATGTGAATTAGAATTTGTATTGAATAATTGTGGTTTACCATCGCTGATTCACATATGGCTTGGAAAACGAAATATCATTACAACGAACGATTCACAACAATCGCGATTTCCATATCTTATATGGCATGGAATAAAGAAGTTGTTTTGAATATCTTCTTTAACAATTCAGAATGATTTATCATCTATATCAGTTTATGTGGTACAGCAGTTAAAACAAAATTAGTTCATCAAATGAAGACACATGTTGCTTGCTTTTCTCTCTTTTTGATCCATTGATGAATGAAATGACGTTTTATTGAACTTTGTTTTTTTTGTTGTTGAAAAGATTTGTGTGTAGACTTGTATGGAACATCTATTATGGACTGATTTATTGAATGCAGAAATGAGAGAAAAGAAATGTTAGCATCGTTACTCCTTCTTCTCCTGTTTTGTATGTGTGAAACAATGTAGTCTACAATAACATTCTGCTTTTGTTTGAAGAGAGAGAGAATATGTATTATACTTTACTCGAATAAAATGATAGTTCTTCTTTATTTGTTATCGTAATTTTATTTTTGAAGATGTTTATCAAAAGAAATTCTTTTTCTTCTTCTGTTAAGAAAAATGAAGATAATTTCAACTATTCGTCCACGAAACATCACCATACTTTGTTTACTGAATTACCGACAGAATCATTTCATTTGATATTTGATTATTTTCGAGCAGATGAAATTCTCTTTTCATTTTCAAATCTAAGTTATCGATTTGAGTCATTAATCAAATCTTATTTAACTTATCGGATCAACTTTCAATCTATTCGAAAATCGAATATGAATCATTATGTCGAATATTACCGAATTGGATTAAATTGAAACATTTACAGGCTGTTTATCTTAATAAATCAGGTGGAAAAGAAGTGGATATTAGTGACAGAGAGGACGCAGGAGCACGACATATCGATGTTTATCCACTTCTACATCAGTTTTGTGATGAAATATTCCTTCAATTAAAGTCTTTATACAACGACATTGACATCGATGGATTTTCCCAAATTACTTCATCTAAAGTTGAATTTTTCTTCGCAAGTATTTGATATGAACGAAATTTTCCAACATGCTCCTCAGCTCGAATCTCTCACTCTTTGTCTCGCCTTTTTATATGATTTTACTGCAAATCAGCGATGTTATTCATTGAAACGACTTAATGTAACAAGTCCCTGTAAGTGCATAACCATAGTAGACGTTCATAACAACCACCTTTCCACAAAAATGACTGAATCGCTGTTTGACTTGACTTCGTAATGCAAATCGAGATTTGTTGGTTCTTTCATGTATTGATTTTGATTGAAAGTGAGACGATGTTTTGTATATTCCTTGTAGGGATGCATATTTCAATGAATGGAATCAGACGATTTTTACAGAATTTTCCAAACTTAAGTCATTTTGAAATCAAAATTTTGGAACAATTTATCGATGCGGATGTGTGTAATGGAAATCAATGGAAAATGATTACATATTCATTCTCAACATTTAAATTTAAATTTCATATAGAAACGATAATAGCTGAACGATGTTTAAATTCATTCCGAACGCAATTTTGGGTCAACGAAAAACGCTGGTAGTTCCTATGTAGCGACTGTACAAAAATATCCTGCTGAATCTGTATCGACAGCCGTTAGTCCCAGCGAACGGTGTCAATGTATCGATAAACTGTTTATTGCTGGTACCATGAAGTAACCTCATCTCGTCCTTCTCAAATATTATCATCAACGATGTGAAAAGATGTCAACTGCGAATCGATCAAAAGTGTTTCTTCGATGAACTTTGCGTGTATTTGTGCACACTCGATTCTTTTGCCAGTTGTTTTGAGTTCAATGATCAGAGAATATTTACAAACAGACTATTATAAGAATGATGCATCGTGTTTGCATGATGATTCTGTCTGTTCGTCGAGTACAATATGCATTTGTACGAACCGCCATTCCGACACGCAATGTCAGTTCGACGCAACAGGTCGAAGTGTAATTCTTTCCGATCTTCGACGGTACGAAGTTCGTCTGCATGCGACCAGATCATCTGTTCTCTAACTTTTGCCAAAGAATCGTCCCGACAAGTTGGATCCAGAGTGTATCTGTTGGCAGTATCGATTCTGTTTTTGCTGATCATCATTTTTTAATATTGAACTTTTGGTTTGCGCTTCCTTCGTAGATGAACATCATTACTAATCGAACTGTTCTTTACGTTGGTTGTGTATCCATGGAACCTTTCCTTGAAATTGTTCTGGACACGAACAACTGGTTTAGTGCATGCGTAACTACTGAAAGTGCACTTCTGATCTTCAAAGGAGTTACTTTTTCTAAAACGAATAGGATACAAATGGACAAAGGAATTCTCTTCGTAATATCACTGTGACAATGATTGATGAGTCGATACATGAAGATCTTTTCGACGTTCAAGACGAGTATTGTACTTGGTGTGTTGTTGATGATCCTTGGTACATCCACTTCCATTTCATCATCCCGCATATGATGAACCTGTTCTCCGTCTTGTTCATTATCGTCAACACTGTTCGTCGACGAAGTGTTTTGCAAACTGAACAAAGCTACGAGAAACATCTTCATGCGCAGTTCGCTGAAGACGAACACATCGTCATTCGCCCTCGCGCACTCGTTCTGCTGTCTTCGTCTTGCCAGATGATCCCACTACGATCAACTTCTCTGGTACCATCTGAAGATCCGTGGCTATTTCACATCGTTCGTAACGGCAATACTCCCTTTTGTCGTTCTGATTCTCCCGTTCGAGGCATATAGTGAAGAATTGCACGAGTCAATGGAAGGTTGCCGAAGATCGGACCGACGTGAGTGTCAGGTACTTTGATCTGATTCACTGAACGTTTCCTCGCTTCTCGACCTTCATTTGGTCAGTTTTGATCAGCTCAAAGATTCAGATCATTCTCACAGTTCTGTCACACAATACATTTTTCTATTCTCGCTTACCACAGTAGACAAACCACATTTCTAAGGACGCTGAGAAGAATGTTTCTCAATTCTACTCGTAGTTCATTGGACAGATCTTTCAAAGTCGATTTCCTGTTCACTTTGGCATCATTTCCAGCTCGGACGTTCTGTGTATCTCTTCCATCATGCCACAAAGTTACTCTTGGACAAAAGGATCAGTTCTGAGCAGATGTTCTTTCGAGGGTCAATGACTGATGTCAGCGAGGTGCAATTTCTTTCCAGCGAAGTCGAAGTTTGTGGCCAAATGAGTATTGAAAAGTGGAGCGATGCAGACCAGTTTCTCTCTCTTTGCATCCATCAGTCTCTGGGTGATTTCACCTGAACTTTCCATCTTTAGTTTGCACAAGAATTTCCAAAGAAGAGGAGTCACTTCACCATTGAACTTTGCAGATTGGGCATGAAAGCATTGTTCGATTTGATCGTGGCTTTGGGCATCTTGAGGTTCTCATCTTTCACCTGAATGAGAGAGAGAAAAGCAATGTTAGAATACGAATGAACTGCAGTTGTTTCTCTTCCATTAGATCTTTCTTCATTCAATCTGGCATGAGTGCTCTCGATTGGAACTTCTTTCGGAGTGATTTCCATCTCCCATCAACGTTTTCGAACCATCTTCGGTTCTCATCTCTCCTTCCTTTCTCTTCTCCGCTCCTCGATGTTTTGTCAAAGGATGAATAGACGAAGGAAGGGAGCGCGCTTCTCTCACATCTGCAAATCCTCACTGCATGCCAATAATCTGGCTAACCCCATGAAAGAGATCATCGAATCCAAGAGCAAATGAAGAAGCAATCAGGAACGAAACGTATTGTCCGTGCACGCCAATTATCATATGGTGAGTGATTTCAAGCAGCGAACAGAAGAGCGAAGGATCGGGAGGCAAACAACAAATGGGCAAAGAGTAACGCGAAAAAATCGAAGAGGAGAGACGACTGTCGTCAATGAGCTGAAGTGCCTAACGATGATTAGCAAGGAAGTGAGTCTTCCGCTCGTTGCTCACGTTCATCCTCAGCAATGATGTTTCAGAAGTGATCGAAGAATCGCCATACGTGCATAAAACGATGCATTTGATCTGACCAAAAATCAAATGCAAGGTATTCACCCAATGCATTCCGCTCTGGCACTGAACTTCTCCGTCTTCGACTTCCAATTCTCTCTTCCTCCCTCTCTCTCTCTCTTTCTTCCAGTGTTTCTATTCGTGTGTAGATAGAACATTGACAATAATCATGCAATGACTTGGAGAGAATCGAAACTTGTGGAACAGTGCTGCATGGAATACGGAGTGACCTGATTCAACTGTTGACCCGCACTAAGATCGCGTCATGAAGCGTTGGTACCTCTGTTTCTTGGTTCATCCCGTTCTCATCTACGTATGCGTCTCTGCGTGCATTGATTGTGATGATTGATGATTCTCTCGATCATCAATTGTTCTCGTCAGTCCTATCCCCGTCCTCGTAATGATCATCATCATGACCTTCATCGTCGACATCAGTCTCGTATTCCATCAATACACTTGCAGCCTGTTGTTTTCTTCGTCTCTTGCTTACTAGACACACATCCAACCAAGTCTCTTCTCCATTATCAAAAGCGAACCAATGACAATGGCAAACCATCCATGTCAACCGTTTTCTCACTCGCCATCAACTAAGACCACTCTTTTTCGATGCATCCACGTGCATCTTCGGGCAACAATCTTTATCTTTTTCATTCGGTCGACAGAACAGAAAAACAATTGAGAATCTTACTTCTTCTGATTTATTCATCTCAATCAACAGAATCGAATATCAAAGGAGAGGAGTTTTTCCACATCTCCCAAGGTTGTCCACAGAGTATCACCTACCCAGGTCGATCATTCCGGCGACTGGATCCGTTGAAATCTGAGTCGGTTCCGGTACAGCTCTTCTCGATTCCGGCACAGTTTTCGCCGATTCCAGCAAGTTCCGACAGATTCCTTGCTGCCGGATTCCGGCCGAAACTGACCGTGCCATAATAACCTGGGTATTGAGAGAGATCTTTGCACCGTTGGTTGAGTTCTTGCACCAACTTCAGGTATTCTTCCGTTGAAATTTTCTTCTTAGCCCAATCGTCGCCTAATTCATGCAATTTCTTCGCGATCACTTCCTTTTCATCAGCCTAGAACGAGAAAGAACGATCGTCAATTGTGTGAAGAAAAATTAAATAGATGTTCCAAAGAAGACAAGCCCGTACTAGTTTCTCGGCCATTCCGTATCGTGAAAGAAAAATTTGGATGAAGTTGCGTCGATGAATGAATGAATGAGTGGACAGGTGAAGGAGAGAGTATATATAGAAGAGGGAATGATCTCTCATGGTGGATCAATTAGTCGAGGAAGAGATGATTATCATTGATTGGCGTAGTGGATATTGCCTCTAATGATTTACCAATTAGTGTCACTCATCTAGCTTAATCGACTCCAATTATGAGAAAAATCACCTTGTCAATGTTGGCGACGGCATTGTCCAGAAGATCGCGTTCAGTTCGACACCGCTCTACCAACATCTCGAAGTCCAATGGATGATTCGTTTTTTGGTGACAGAGCCACGTTCTTGTGCTTCGTGTTTGGAAATGACACAAAGTACATTGGATTTGATTGTTAGCTAAAGAGAAAATCGCTTTTCGGATTTTTCTTCTTATTGAATACTCAGTAAACAACGAGTTCCAGAGAGACCGCTGGAACCGAGAGAAATGAACAGTTTTATCATTTCGAGGCCAGGAAAAACCATCGAACAAACGGTAAATTGCTTGAGTGATGCTCATTTTGGTAAAAACAACGAGAAAATGAATTCTTTTTCTTTGATGTTTCTTTTCTTTCGTTTAGTAATTTCTTCAAAGTGGTGTCGAGGGAGGATCGAGGGAACATATCACTAGATGTCTGATCACATTCGGTACGACGATCGTTCGTTCGTTCGATCATCTGCCCTGGATGGTGAAAAAATTCGTGTTTGTGATCGAACGCTTTCTTCATCTTTGTCAGAGAGGTTTCCTCGCTAAGTTTGAGAAAAAATAAAACAGATTGACAAGACGAGGGAAACAGTGAGGAATACGAGGCTGGACGTGAGATGTCGAGTTGCTGGAGAATTTACCTTGGCAAGATCAGTGGAATCTTTCGGCATCGTTTCACTTCATCTTCATTTTCAGTGTGATCATTTATGGAGGAATGATCAACGAGAATTCTTCTCTTCCAACTGTCGTCACTGGAATAGAGAAGGAGAGGAAAGAACGTGGCTGGAGACGATCAACGTATCTTCGATAAACTCTGCACTACTTCGTCGATGATCTCATCTACCTCGGTCGATAGAGAAATATCTGTTCTACTCCGAAATACCAAAGAGAAGTGAACTCGGTCTGACCAAAGTCACGCTGTCTGATTCTAGACATCATTGACGAAGAACAACGAACACTGTGTTTATTTCCACAAGTGAATGTTTTTCCTTCCATTCGAACACTTGATCTCGATCAGAGACACTGGTTAACGAGAAATGTCTTCATTTTCGATGCAAGTGGCGTGAACTGTCCATACATTGTTCTCAAACAAAAAATGCGACTGTCTCTTCAAAAGAACCTATCCATGACAGAAGTCAAGATACTTCTACGCTCGCACAAGCAACTTTCTTATATACCAGAGTGATTTTTAGTTTTATTGTACACATTCATAGTTCTTACATTAAAAATAAATTTTTTCTTCCTCTTAGGGCGAGAGAAGATGTGTGAGTGGATATAAACATTTTCTTAATACATATTCACTCCCACACCCTCACCCTTGTTGTTAACTTCAAGATTTGATTGTTTTCAATGAACCATTGTGCGATTTTAGCAATATTTTTTGTATCATCGATTCCCGAATGATGCTTTCCATCCAAAGTCAAATGTAATATTTTCAATAGATCTTTCATTCCATAAATGCGATTTGATGGATTATATTCCATATATAAATCTTTGATATTGATGAAATCGTTGATGAATTTCGGTCGATCAAAACCGGATTGTTTTAATTGCAAGGGTAACATTGTTCGCAAATCCCAGTTTCCACACGTGATCCATGTAAAACTACGCAAAGTCGGTCTATTCTCATCTTCTGAACAAATTAACGAATGTTTTAATAAGAATTTCTGAACATCTTTCCACACATAATCAAATGTAGGAGATTGATCAACCATATCTTGAGTTATCCCAGTTATTTGAATACAAATATCATTCAAACGTGATTTGATCGTTGGTCGAACATAACTATGATAGATATCAATAATTGTATTTGTTTGTGCTTCTAACAAACAGATAGGAAACTCAATAATTTCCCATACATCGTCTGGCGATCGTCGTTTGGAGCCAGGGTTTGCTTGATGACATACCGCTTCAAAATCTAATACGCAATAATAGTCGAATGGTTGACCAACAGTATTTGTTGTTACACTCATGGAATTCAACAAAGTATATAGAAAATTGAGGCAAGATAACACGGAATTATTTCGTCTAAAATAGTTGGATTATCAACAGTGATTGATGTAACAGTTCTGCTCCATCATTATTTCGAAATACTTGTGTAATAACCACGAGATCAAGGCATCTTACAATAATTGTTTGATATTGTTAATAAATCTCTCTTTATTATGAAAGAACGAATTACAAAATATCAATGACTCATTCTATTTATGTTGACTCATAGAATAGAAAACGAATGAAATCGTCTTATCATCACCATAGATTTTTATCTAACACCAACAAGCACAAATCTTTTCCACCTTTTTGTTTAGTATGGGCTCATCTAAAAGTGGTTTTGATGAATTTGTAAAAACAAATTCAGTTAGCATTCCATCCTATCTTGGTCGACTTCGTCTACGAACTCACGAGGACGATGATGCTGCAAGCTGTGCATCGATATTTTCTGATCCAATTTCACGAAAACATCTACTCTTTCTTCAACCGCCAAATGGATGGAAAAATGCCGAACAGCAATGGACGGTGGAAGATTTTACTGATCGAGTTAATGTCCAAAAAGCAACACGAGCGAATGGAAAAAGCTGTGTTTTGAATATCATTCTATTAGCATCAACATCCGGAGAAGAAACTGATCGTTGTATTGGCACAACAGGTTTTGTTACAATTGACAATGAGATTGGTTATTTAGGCATCATTAGTGATCATAAAACAACACGATTAGGATATGCAACCGAAGCACTTTATACATCGATTGCATTCGCATTCGAAAAGTTAGGCGTGAAGAAAATAATTATGCAAACTGATGAATTAAATGAAGAAATGAGAGGTTGGTGCGAAAACACAGCGGGATTCAAATTAGACAATAAAAAACCTAAGGAACTGAATGGTTATTCATTTATACAATACGAATACATGTTCACGTTAGACGAATGGAATGATTCAATTAAAACTCGCTTAGAAGAGAAAATGAACAAGATTTATAAAAAATAACATTTTGATTCATGTAACACGTCTTTTTTTATTCTGTCGTTATTATAAAGGGCGGATCGAGTCATGCACGAATGATTTTACATATGATGACATCGTATGTGTGTTTGAGTAGAAATATGTGATGTATTCAAATGAAGAAGAATCCGTTTTTGAATGATCTTCTCGCTGGCTGTGTTTGTGGAGTAACCAGTGTTGCCATTTCACATCCGATTGAAACATTATTAATACAGAAAAGAATCAATTCTCCAGGTGTTTATCGAAATTTTTTTCATTCGTTTCAGTTAATTTATAAACGTCAAGGAATTATCAATGGATTTTACCGTGGCAATTTGAATCTACCGTTGATTAGCCCTGCGTTAATAACATCAATACAATTTTTTCTTTATGGACAATTAACACGTTATTTTGTTCAAAATGAAAATGACATAAAACAGTATATGTTGTGTGGAGCATTAACTGGTCTTGGTTTATCTTTGATTGAAACTCCAATTTGTTTTATTTTTGCACAAATTCATGGAAATCTCAATCGTCGACATACACATACATTTAACTTTTATCTCAAAGATTGTGTCAAATATATTTACAAGAATAATGGAGGTGTCAGAGGTTTTTATCATGGTTTTGGTTCGACATTGATCAATTCGATGACAACATCAATGTTTTACTTTGGTGGTTATGAATATATTAAAAAGCATTTGTATGAAATTCATTATCGGATATTTCCTTTTCAAAAACAAGAGAAACATTTACGAACAGATATTCTTTTGAGTGGAGCATTCGGTGGTCTTTGTGCATATTCAATTTGTTATCCACTAGATCGAATTCGATTAGAAATTCAAGCAGATGACGTTCGGCCTGGACATAGAAAATATTCGTCATATTTTGATTGTATTAAACAAATTTACGAACAAGATCATTCCATTAAAAAGTTTTATCGAGGATTTTTTCCCGGAATTTTAAAAGCCATTCCAATTAATGCGGCTTGTTTTCTTGCCTATGAAGAAGTTTATCGATTATTAGAATAAAAATACATAAAGAATTACATGCCAGACGGTTGATTTATCTTTCTTTAATCCTCCTATACACATAAACTTCAATCTTTTTCTTCATGTGCGCATAAACAGATCAACCTGTTTCCATGTCAGATATAAATAAAGTATAATTAAATGCTGTATTGGTCACCCTACGAGTGGATTGTCTTCCCGGAATCTGCATACTCTGAGTTGTTTTGTATAACAGCGACCTCCATATCCATGAATTTTCATTTTCGAACTGGATTTCCAGAAACAGTAATAAAGGCAGAGCTCTCAAAACGATTTTTGCTGTTGATACCTCAAATCTGAATGTTTTAAAGTATATATAGGTCTATTATAAATTTTGTCCCTATATATTGATAGTTCCGGGACCAATAAATAATCTAGCGACATGATTCAGTGGAAAGAAAGAAATGAGTGATGTGTTCATGTACACAGTTGAGTTGATTTTCTCTCTCATGTACGTTCTTTCACTTCTCGACAAATAATGAATAGTGGTACGTCTACTAGTGGTTATAAACTTCGCCTGAACAGATATTTAACGGAAAACAATATCGATGGTTTCGCTGTAGTCAACAATCGTGAACGTTTTCTGATTCCTAGCGATGAAAACACGTTTGGTGGGATCAAAGTTCCGTACGTTTTAATCGATACCCAGGTCAACAAATCCTATGCTGGATACGATCGGATCTGATCGGATTCCTGGAAACGGAATTGCATTGGAATCCGACTAGCAAAATCCCGTCGGTTGTTGCAAATTTTATGAGCGATCTTTTTAGCTATGTTCTATGATGACCCTTAGAAAATCCAGGAAATCCATGTTTCGGATCCGACGGGATCCGAGTATGAGATGGTTCGACCTGGGTAGTGGATCAAACTCATCACTTCTGCCGTTACCGATGAATGTTAACAACAAATTAGATTTGAATGAATTGATGAGATGTTTTCCATCAAGTGGATTTTTATGGACAATTGGTATTTCATACGGGGTGGATTTATTACCGAACACAACTTTGCACATCAAACGAAGGGTAGAAAGCAATGGAGCAGATGGAGAAATTTTGTGTCATTTACATGCCGATCTCAAAATGCTACAATTTGAATTACCTTATCTCCGTTTTACGTTAGATAAAGAATCAATACAAGTTTTAACGGGATCGAACGAAACTTTATTTTCTGAAGCGGACAAATCGTTATTAGAAGATACATTAAGATTTCTTAACAACTTCGAAGATCATTTTCCATCTATGATGAATACAAAAAAACGACAATATTGTTTATTAGGTCAACATTTTCTGAAAACGGTGTGTTCAATTCAAGTCAATGATACAATGATATTTATTAACAAAGATAAGTTACGCAACAAAGTATTTCCGTGTGCAAATACAACGATCAATGAAATTGGGAATTATTTGTATTACCAACGGCCAAGTTTTTCAAAGACTGAAAGATTTCTCTTTTGTGAGGATGATGAACATGGCGGACCAGATTTATTAAATGTTCCAGAAAAACAAATAGACATTGATGAATAGTGTTCATTTGTAAATAAATGTGCTGTCAACTCATTTTGCCAGATAATACATATACACTCTTTTTCTTGACAACTGAGATCACAAATACCAGCTGATTCTAAGAGTATTTTCGTGTTTGCCATCTTTATCTGTACATTTTTGTCAAGGATAGTATTTGAATTTTTTGTGATGAATCGATGCAAATCTCGAGATTTTTCATTGTTATTGTATAAAAATATTTTATCCATTTGACGTTATCTGAATCTTATGGATGAGAATAGTGCTACGAGTGTTATTGTGTGGCATACTACGAGAAGTTTTGCATGCATCTGTATTACGCTTCGATCAGATGAGTAAAATCACTCTTAAGGTGAGAACAAATACCGTTGGATTTTGTAAACGACGAAGAGTTTATGCTTTAATTGATAGATTTATATCCTTCGAGTCGAAAGTATATTTTCTCCCATTTTTGACTATTTAATATGAACTTTATAATATTCATTTGGAAGTAAAAGATGAATGAGTCGTTATTTTAACAAAGAGTAACTTAAGGTTAATATCATTTGAATATCAATACATCAGTATGGAGTGCGAAAAACAATTTTTCTCCTTGTTATGTCGTCATTTACTTTCTCCATGATATAAAACTATGTTTTTCTTCTTTTTTTTTTCTTTCCCTTCTATTGGGGTATCTTACCAACGAATATTGCATCATTGATAATATTATTCCCTCTTATTGGGAGTAAGTTTCGACACGAATGACTTTGCCTAGTTTCCGTTGAGAATTATCCTCTATCGACATCAACATTAATTGTACATAGATCTACTCGAGAAGATCAGAATCAGAGTGTGGTTTATATGATTTACTGCATTGATATCCAATCGAATTAGACGGATATCAACCATTAAGCTTAAGGATTCGAGAAATTTTCTTCGCAGTCAATTGATAAATAAAGCTTCGCACCATCTTATTCTTACGTGCAGTCACTTTTATTTCTTATATACTGGCGTAGATAAACAATAGTACGAGGTTTGATTTACCTAGTTGATGGAATGCTTCCTTGATTTGCCGACTGATAGTTCACGCTTGAGTCTTCAACCGATTGTTTGTCTAATCCGTAGTCGCGTTCGACAATAGTTTGCATCTGGTTCAAATTCTCCATAAATGTGCTCAGATTGCCTTCTCTCTGCGAAAGCACTGCTCGATGAACTAAATCTTCCATTTCCAAGTACGTAGGGTTTGAGCTAAACGAATAAAAGGAAAAAGTAGGTGAATTTCAAATTTTAGTCTTAAGTCGTATAGCTCGAATGACTTACTGATAATGTGCCATACATTAGCAAGCTTTGAAAGAATGTGCTCATATGTAAATACTCATTGAAAAGTAAGGGACAAAACCAATCACATAAGTCAAAATCCCAAGTACAGTTTTCGTCATATAGTCTTTGCTGTACTTTTCCCATCGCATAAATATCATGACACACGTTCGCAGTGTTTATTTTCTTTTACATCGAATGAGAAACCGTCGACATTTTGATACAAAATAACAGTATAGGCATACATAAAATTCCCATATGTCAAATGTCTTTTTTTCACATAGAAATCATCCTCAAGGAAGAACTATGTGGGATAGACAAATGTTTTTCGTTATCGTTTACATGTAAATAGCTTTCTTCCAGACACGATTTGTTTTCGTAGTAAGAAAAAGAAAAAAAAACGCGTAGGTCGTTTTTTCCAACTTGGTATGTACGCAGCGTCTAGACAAACTGGCAGAACACATAAAGCTTTCTAAAACTGAAGACAAATAAAACAAGATTCGGCTCCATTTTCATAGGTAAGTAGCAATGAAACATTTCATTTAATTTTTTACTTCTACTTGGACAAGTACCATATAAAACTTCCAAATTCCGTTGGCTTTAGTCGAATTTTTATTTCCGAATAGGTAAAAAGCGAAATAAAAAAACAAGTTTATACACATTTTTAAAGTGATGGACAGAAAGCGTCTCGATTGGTTTTGATTTGGTTGATTGTTTCCAGAGCAATGAGTATACACGAGTTAGCTACACTTTGTTCGGCGTCTTTTTGATATTTTTGCGATTGAGAATAATAAGCGAGGATGACTTTGAAAAGTAAATTTAACACCAAATCATTTTCGTTGGAAACTTTCGTTATTTGCGCATTTTTTTCGATGATTTCAAACGAATCGATCGTATTAGATAGATCAGAAATACAATAAATTGTTTCGAGATTAGGTGGAATCGATTCTTTGGGTAAATTAAGGAATATTTCTTGAGAACAGGCGAGAATTCGTACTGATTCCGTGTTCTCGGCTAATTTTAAAAGAAGTTCATCTTCAGTTGAACACCTTTCGATAAAATCAAACGATTCAAGTAGAGGAAGTTTCTTCTGTGTACAAACTATAATTCGAAAGTTTGGTAGAAAGTCTAAAGATAAAAATCATATTTTCGATCTTGATTTTTAGAACGTATTTACATGACATTTTGGTAGAATTTTATCCAGTAGATAATAAAATAATAATGAATCTAAAAATAAGCGAGAAAACCATGATTTTTTTGTTATTTCATTCAGTAGTGAAATTATTTATTGAAATACTGAGTCGATAACATCCAATAGAATACAAATCCTCCTCTTCGAGTCCTGAGCGACAGCGTGATCAAAGGGTTATCGCACAAATGAATCATCAAACAGGAACATTCTATACCACATAGAATCAAATCAAATAATTGTGAGATTCCTTCTTAACAATTTATGAATTTTGAATTTATTTCTAAAATACTGCTTCCGTGATCTAATTTGAGCAATTCCTCTGATGTATAGATGTCGTAATACAACTTCTCATGCGTCTATAATTTAACCAAATATACCCATTTCTGAATATCTACTATAGTCAAAGACTTTCTTTCGTCAAAAGTCATCTCAGAAGAAAATGCGGGTATTTTTATCTCGAATATTCAAACAACTCTATACTAAAATTTCTGACAAAAATCTGTACCAATCAGTTATGAAATCAAGAAGAAACCATCCATCATCCTCTATCGGACGGTATTTCATATTTATATCTTAACGAACTCAAATCAATTTAGGATCTGTTGCTCATGATTTAAGATTGAAAGAACAAAGTAATTATTAATCGAATTTCAGAATATTCGTAAACTTGTTTTGCTCAAAGAAAAGTTGACGAATAGAAAAGTGCAACTGATTTCGTGTTCGATAATGTTCAAAATGAACCACTCAGTTTTGATCCGGTGGAATTGTTGCTCATGCTTTTGCACGTTTGTTGAGATATTGAAAGACAGTATATTCACCCTATGGTACCAAACTGATGAAATATTTCGACTAATCATCATCATTGAGAATCGCGTTTCGTGTTTGTTCAAGAAGATGAAAGGAAAAGAAACTGAAGTTAAAGATTAACTTTATTCCTGCAAAAATTATCAGCATGATGAAATTGATGGAGGGAGAATGGAGAAGATTAATTATAGAGTTGATGTTTAAAGTCTGCATTTGTGAAACACATATCGTTATGATTGGTTTGACTTTATCTTCAATCGTAAAAATGTTCTTTTATGATGCAGAAAGATTCTGTGAATGGTTCAACGTTAAACAAAAGATTTGAAGAACAAAAAAGGTTTTTTTTCACATGATGGAATTTGAGAAAATAAAGTTCGATTTGATAAAAATCTCTCTTTCTCTCCATTAATTGGTAGTCGATCAATGCTAAAATCTTTGTTGATAATAATGATCTTGAGTCGTTATGGTCAACAGATCAAGTTATAGTTGACAAAAGACATATTATATTAAATCAACAATGCCAAAAAATGATTCGAATATATCTTGGACTTACGAGTATATAAAATCACAAAATCTGACTCAATTTGGTTTTGGTGGTGACGAATGAATGGTGATATTTATTTTTTTCTAAGTTTATCAAAATATCACCGAAGTAACTTAGTTTTGAGAATTTCGCAAGATAATGTTTGTTTTTTCGACATGACGTCCTGTTCAAGACTGTATTGAGAATTATGAATTGTATAATAGTATGAGATCACCATTGTCGATGAATGAGAAATATGATCTCTTAATAACGGATGTGGCTCATAATGAATTTGAATCAATACCAGATGCATTGAACAAAACAACGTTAGCAATACAAAGGACAAATAGAGATTTTCATGGTGCTATGGTTTGACTGGACGTTATCAATCTGATGCGAATACAGGTGATTTGTTATGGATAGATGGAAATTGCAATTTATTAAAATTCCAATATAACAAATAAAATTTCATTCATAATTGCACAACTTAACGATCGAGATGCAAATTTTGTTTTAGAAATTCTACCAAAATATGACCGATTCAACATGGAGATACTTTGTTTCATCGTACGAAATCTTAACATATGATATTGAAATACATTGGAATTGGTATTTACCTTCAGTAATCGTTGACAATGATGACATGACGTCACCTACTATCGATGATAATGGTACTGCTTATATGTCAAGTATACCTCTTGTATTTGTGATTGACAAGAGCGAATACAGATCAAATAATGAAAAGCATTGATCTCAATGTTGAAACTCAGAAATTTGTTACACCAAAACGTCCAATCTTAGTCGGCGATGATATGTTTTATTTTTCTTGGTTAAACAGGACAATATGCAGAGTCAACACGTTTCAGAATAATCGATATGAAGCAGTGGGAATCACAAGCAAAGATATATTAGTCATATAGATATTCTTCACATATGTGTATTGCTTTCTCTTTCTCTCTTTCTTTTCTTCGATAACGGGATTTTTCTATTTATTCGATAAAAAGAAGCTTTTCAACTAACATACATGCCTTCATGTCATTATACATTAACATTGGTTTTGAATGAGAGAATATGGGTTATATTCAATGTAAGTTTATTGTCAATAATTTGCTTTAACAAGATTTTCTTATTAAAACATCTTTTGTATATAATTATTCCTGACTAGACCTTATGAAAAAGTGTTATATTTACAAGAGAAAGAGAATCTTGGGTATCAATAAAAATAAAAAATATTCCACTATTTCGATATTTCTCGTTAGAGTTCGAGTTTTATCAGTCTCTTACTCCTTTCATTTCTCCAGACAGCATTACCAAACACAGAATCTGACGTATATCATATACAATCAGGATATTTTGTACACGGATAGTTGAAGACAAGTAGCCATAAGTGACTTGTCCAAAGTCATTCCATGACTAATGACAATGTCGTTTGAACATAATACATTGCGAGTATGTATTGGATAACATAGTCAGTTAGTCATGGTGGCTTCGTTACGAAAGAGTTATCTATTGCCTCCATCAGTCGATGGAGTTGATGAATAATTACTTGTGTCTTGAGTAGGTGTTTGAGGTGAATGCCAATCGTTTTTGACCGTTTCCAGCATTCTATCAATATAGTGATTAAATGAAGTATTGTCGGCGATTTGCTGCGCAATGATCAGATTCTCTTTTCCATAGTCCATTTTCGAATAATCAGCTTCAAAGTTGAATAAGTAAAAGATGAAATAAGGGCCATCTTCTATTCCATTATATATATATATAGATCAAAAGAAATTTGGAATCCACCTTTGCGTCATGAGTTGCTAAAATACATACATAGGAGAAAAACCTACGCGTTTGACGAAAATAGGATTTTTTCCATATACTCTCATTACAAATGTAATTTCCAAATCATAATCAAGCCAAGCACCTTTGTCATGAAACATATGAATAAGTGATAATTTCTTATCGATTTTTCCTGCACTTCCTTTATCGTCATTTGTAATTATCCTATGAAACGCATGACGTTTTTTTTTTCAGGTTGGTATTTTTCAAGCAACGGTTTTTACCAAAGAATGAAAAAAAACAACAGAATAAAAAACTTTTTTGTGTTTCTTCCTACTTACAAATACCAAAGATTACAGACGCTTTGCCATACAAATGTATAAAAATTAAAGGCATTGCAGAGCAAACAGTAAAAACGGTAAGCAGAAAAACTGATATTTATCGGTAACTATTGTAAGTAGTTAAGTCTAAAGTAGTATAACGACGATTAGTGTCTTCGTTGTTGAAAAATTTGTGATGATAATTCGATTAATTAACAACAAAATTTTATTTTCACTTTTATTTCATAAACAGAGAAGATTACACTTCTGTTACTACTCAACGATATTCGACAAAACAAGAGAAATGAGGAAAGAGAGATATGTAGAGAAGAGATTAGTTCCACACAGGAATGAGAAAATGAACACCTTCAATTTTTTCATTCAAGAAGTAAATCATTGTTTTGCCATCTTCGTTAAAACGATTTGACATGTTCTTTCGTTCGAGAAAGTCATATTTCATTAAGGTGGACATAGATATTCATTGTGTTGTTTGATATATTCCAATACATTAACCACAATTTGTCTACACGCATCGGCTAAACCATTATTACCTTCTGTTCGATAATTAATCGATTGCTGATGAAAACAATCGACAACATCCAACAATACACGTAAGATCAATTCTTTTTCTGACAGAACGCTGATCAGTTGAGGAGCTGCATTTTCATTTGTCAATAGTGGTGAAGCACTCGACGAGGATGTCATGACATATATTGTGTCAAGTTTAAATGGAATTAGATTGGATGGAAGTTGATGAAATACTTCAGACGTGCATCCCAAAACTCGTATCGATAAACGATTTTGTTCCAAAATCGAACGAAAACTTTGAGTGTCCGAACATTTTTGAATTAAATCAGTCGAAGGAAGATCAGGAATGGGTTGATCATGATAAAGAACAACTTTGAATCCACCGGGTATAAAGTCTGAATGAAAAAGATAAAAACTAGACAGATAACGAACTTTTTCACCTACGCGACATGTTCGCGTGATTTTCGTAGAGATCTATAAGGAAAATAGAAAGAGATCAAGTAAGATTATGAGTTTTTTTCATAGGTAACATACAACTACAAAGAATTCATACGAGAAAAATAGAGATTACTGTAAAATAGATTTACCAATTGCAATATCTATCGATTTCGTTTGAAAACACATCTTGTTTTTCTCTTATCTATGATCTATCTTTTACTAATGGACTTTATCTTAATCCCTATTAATAAAAATCTCATTTATCTGTTCACAATCTATATAAAACCGTTGGAGAACTCCTGTTGGTGATGACTTCATTGATATACAGAGAATCAATCAATCGATCATCCGTTCATACAGTGATAAAAACATCGAATGACTCAATATTGACCAAATGATCACCTTTATCACAAACCGCATATAGTCAGCTACGAAAGATTTTGATACTTCGTCATTTTTCTGTTGGTTTTTATATTACTTTGCAAATTCAATTCAATAAAATTGATAATTTTTTAATATAATGAGTATAGATGTCAGGCAATGACTATCATCGATACATTCGTTCTAAGTCTAGCCATACTGATACCAAAGAACATTTTCTTTCTTTCTTTCTTTATGACAAAAATAGAAATAAAAACAATGTGTATTCGTTTCATTGCTCATATATATTCATTAAACAGATAATGCGACTGTTTTTGTCTTTACTATGCAAACGATATACGCAAAGAGCTTTATTTCAAACTGCATCGAAAAAAATATCTATTGCACAAAATTGTTTTCGTTATCAATCATCGGATGTCGTTCTTTCTCAATTAGACAACATTCCACATGTAACACACAAATTAAATTGTGACATTTACATTTTAACAAAAGATGGAAAACTTAATACTTATCAAGGTCCATTCGATCGAGCCAAAATTTGTCAGGAATATGGTCTTGAACCACGGGATTTACAAAAGATTGATACAGATCTTTTGATTAATGTTCCTATTATTGATATTCGACAAAATCGATTTATTATTTTTTCATTTCGTCGACTTCGTAGTTTGATCGAATTAGATCGAAGCATTTTCTTTGTTCCAGCTGCTGAGAAAATCGCTCGAGAACCATTAGAATTCAAAGATGATATACACTGGGAACGCATTGCTCAAGCATATCAACGTATAGTGCTTTATATTCACAAGACTTATCAAGAAAGATTTATTAATCAAACGTTGATCAATGTTGATTCGATTCCATTTGAATTTCGATTAACTGAAATCAATTTAGAATCTGTTGCTCATGGTTTAAGATTGAAAGGACAAGAACTACTTATCCAATTTCAGAATGTTCGTGAACGTGCATATAGTCGAATCACAATTGGAAGTTTACGTGAACTTGCTTTGCTCAAAGAAAAAGTTGACAAATACAAACGAAATGCCGATCTTGCACATCAAGCCATTGTGGATGTTCTTGCACAGGATGAAGATATGATTGGAATGTATTTGACTGATACTCGCAAACGTGATATTTCTGATCATATTCAAGTAGAATTGTTACTCGAAGCATGTACAAAACAAATGGCCGAAGTTCGTCGAACAATTTCAGATCTATCAGATTCAGTTCGAACATTAGAAAGTGCAACTGGTTTCATGTTAGATGCTGTTCGAAATGAACTACTCAGTTTTGAAATTCGTATCAATATCATTACAATGAGCTTAGGAATGGGTGCATTCATTGCAGGAATATTTGGAATGAATTTGACCAATGGACTCGAACAAAATCCTTATGCGTTCTATGCAATAACAGGAACATCGATTGTTTTGATCAGTGGAGTTGTTGTTCGTGCTTTTGCACGTTTGTTGAGATATCGAAGGATAAGGTTGCATCGATCAAATAAAATTGATACGTTTTGAAACAATGAAATTTCTTTCCATCAGAGAGAAAGAGAGATTTTTATCAAATCGAACTTTATTTTCTCAAATTCCATCATGTGAAAAAAAAACCTTTTTTGTTCTTCAAATCTTTTATTTAACGTTGAACCATTCACAGAATCTTTCTGCATCATAAAAGAACATTTTTACGATTGAAGATAAAGTCAAACCAATCATAACGATACGTGTTTCACAAATGCAGACTTTAAACATCAACTCTATAATTACTCTTCTCCATTCTCCCTCCATCAATTTCATCATGCTGATAATTTTTGCAGGAATAAAGTTAATCTTTAACTTCAGTTTCTTTTCCTTTCATCTTCTTGAACAAACACGAAACGCGATTCTCAATGATGATGATCGTTCGAAATATTTCATCAGTTTGGTACCATAGGGTGATTATACTGTCTATACTATGATAACGTTGACAGTGAGGAACGATCTCGATCGACAAATGAAAGAATATTTGTCATATACAGTGTTCAGTTTGATAAGATACTTCTATTTCATTATGGATCATCTCATGTAGACATGTTTGACAATGAAAATATAATTGTTTTGTTTTGTTTAGTTTTAGGGAATTTGTCATACATTGTTAATTTCATGAGATCGTTTTCGGAAGAATGTGAAAGAGCAAATGATATGTAGGAAAAAGTGAAAAATGAAGTAAATCCAGTGAAAGCTCATATGTGACAGTTAAAAACCATTTGATGGAATAATATGAAGTGAGATGTGTGTAATTTATTGTGCTTTAATAAAATAAAACGCATCGTTTTGTTCAAATTCACAGAACAGAAACAGAGATGTGGAAATGTTGAAGATACAATACAAGTCTTGACCACTTCCATTGTTGTGTCACTTGTTTTATGATTTCTGACTTGAAATTGTTTTTAAATAATCCAGAACTGATTGATATGTTAAATTGTGACACGATTGTCCGTTTTTAATCATTTGTCGAATTTGTGTTGAACTTATATGACTAACTGCTTCTGCCTGATTTTCTGGAGTATCATCTCGAACATAAAATAATCTTTCATTTGAAATTGAATGTGACAGTTGAATAAGACTTTCCTCTTCTCCTGATCTATACACAACAGCAACACCATTCCAAGGTGCTTCTCTCATTGCGACCATACCACGACAACGATTGAATAAATCAAGACCAGCAACATAGATCACGCGAATCGGTTTTTCCAACTGAATTATTTCATTGATGAACATTTGCAAACTAAGTGTTACTTTTGATAAAGAAATGAATTTTGGAGCTAGACGGAAAATATTCGGAAAATGCGATTAAATGAAATGATTTTCTCTTACCTGTACATTCTGCTTTATCAACACTAAGCCAATGTTGTTGATTCGCTTCTTTAATGGCTTCTTCGCACATTCGAATTCGATGATATCCACTAAGAAAATCTTCACGTGATAATTTTCCTTGAACATACTGATCGTGAGTAGGCGATAAATAACCACCGATAACATGAAAACCATAAACACGTTCCAAATGTTCTTTGACTTTGATCATATTGGAAATATGAGCACGATGAACGGGATTCAAAGCACCAGTTTTGATTAAGACGACTTTTTCTTTGTGAGTATCATTTGTTTTACTCAAATTCTCAAGAAGAATCGAAAGATCTGTCGTTGTTGTCGAATGCATTTTGATATAAAAATCGTGACACGAATGCTGTTCGCTTTTACTATATAACATTTGTCGTATGTAAATAATGACTCATTGTCGGAAGAAATCGATGACTAATGTTTTGTGAAATTACAAACAAAAATATATTTTTATATTCATGAAAAGAGGTCCATCTATTACGTATGATAATCTTGAGAATCTCTAGGCGAAAACAAGATCCTATATGTGTACTGTTCAGATTAACATTTGTGTAGCAAGTTTCTTTTACTTTAACAATATATTTTTAAAAATTTTATTCAACAAAAGAAAGAGGTTGTTTTTTTACAAAGAAGTTGTTATCTTAGTTAAGTTGCAGTGTATTTTGTTCCGTCTGATTAAGGATTTGCTGTTTACTCTACGGACTATTTGAATTATTCATTTTTAAGCGTTAATTTAACTGTTTTATATGTATTTATCATTTAACAAGTATTTTATTCTTAACCTAATGCGCTTTTAAATAAGTCAATTCGCCATCCTAAATCATTTTCGTATACACGCAAAAACATTTGATCATAGTGATCTGCAGCTGATTGAAACTGGTAATTTTTACCAATTATCACAACCCATCTTCCTCCATATGTTTCTTCAAGCCAACTCTTGACACCGTTGCAAATCTCGATCATCTTCGACGATCCATGTGTTTCAATAGAGGTACGTATTGCGCTCAATATATTTATCTTCATAGTATCTGTTATTCCCACACATTGTGCCTGAACTTCCCATTTGACCATTGCTCGTGATTTGAAAAATGAAAATCTAAAATTGATAACTTTGGTTTTTCAACCTTATTGTTCAAATGCATATATGAATTAACAAATAAACGATTGAACCATCGAAGGTCGTTCGCTTTGATTCTGCGATAAATTTCACAATCTCTCCCTAGTTGAAAGATGAATTAACAACACGTATTACTCGACGGACATACATTCTGTTCTTTATTTACTTTTCCCCACTGATTTCAAGGTCCTCAAGCTTCGTTTTACTTTTCTTAATAAGAATAACAAAGAGAATTTCGTTTCTTTTTGAAAGTAGACTCATAATCGCTGAAAATAAAATGACTTTGTAGAACTTTGGACAAATAACATTTCCTTCTTTCACACAAAAATTCCTTATTTATTAAAATCAAAGAATGATCTCATCAATCGAACTTCTCGTCGTTGCGGTAATTATCCTTATTAGCGTCATTCTCTACTATTTTCAGGTTTGTGTATTTATCTAATTAATATATCGTTAAATAGTTTATTGAAGAAATTGTACGGTTCAACTTCGACTGATGTTCATATAGTTGTAGACAATTCGAACATTTTTATCGTTTGTTCAGCATATTCTCAACGAAAAGACCGATGTAACAGAAATCAATCCAGCAGTTCGACTTAACGTTGATAAACTTGCAGATTTGATTGAGAACAAGAAGAGATCACGAAATATTCAAACACGTATTGTTGGTGGTAGTGAACCACCGAAAAATGCACGTGTGTGGAAAGAATGGGAAAATCGTGGATATACAGTTTTATTAGGTGAACGAACGTCTTCCAATAAGGTCAATTGAACTTCTCCGAAAAATGAATGTCCTATTGAATTTTTAGGAAGAGTTTCTCGATGATGTGTTACATAGTCAAATGTTCAAACTTATTCTTAGTCATCCGAGTAAAAGAACCCGACGACAAGTTCTCGTTTTGTTGAGCGGAGATGGCAATTCGAATTATGGGCGAACGAGTTTCCCGGAAGCAGTTCGCACTGCATTACAGCATAATTGGAATGTCGAACTTTGGTCATGGAAAAATTCTTTCAGTAAAAAGTTTTCACAAATCCAAAACGATTATCCATCACAAATGACGATTAATTATTTCGATTCAAACAGAAACAAATTCACTTTTACAGAATCAGCAAAGAAGAAAGCAACATAGACATTTTTCAGTGTTCATAGAAGATTATTTTTAGATAAATGCGTCATTACTTGAACATGAATCGACATGAGACACGTTAATTAGAAAGCTTTATATAATATAATGAGATTAGACAGAATCACAAGTACTTTCTGAACAAGCGTTGACGATGAATTGTCCTCTTTTTTTCGAAATATATAAAATACCGATGACTTTTTATTAAATGTGAATATTAGCTGATAGATCATTCGATGAAAACTTGAGTTTGTTATTGATTAAATGTTTTAGATCGTGTAAAATGAAAAAATTCATTCGGAAAGGCAAATATGCGTAAGAAATTATCATGATCACCAATCTGCCACATACATTTTTTGTTTTTGACATGACAATTAGTTCAAGTCTAACCAAATATGATTGCTTACGTCCCTTGAATAATCACATGTAGTTATTCATCTTCAGAGTGAATTTCCGAGTCGATATATTTTTAACTTGAACTTGTATTTCCACCTACGTATTCACTCAATGCACGCTGAGGAAAATAAACGAACTGCGAAATGCAGTATATCATTAAGTTCATTATGAATTCACTTGAAATGTCAGAAGAAGTCGATTTTCCTTTGTGAAAATCAATAAAGATGGTATTTAGCATTAAAATAGGAGAAGTCGATCAATTCTGTCAACAAATCTGCCCTTTCCTCATATGTCCCATAATGATTATTTGTCTGTCAACTATATAATTAAACAAAAAATATTTGTCAATTGAAGAAAAACATAGTCTGAAACCATTATAAAATCTCACTGATGTTGACTTATGATACAGGGAACCAGAATCGACTATTTTACACGTAAAAAAATCTATTCTAATAAGAACACAAGTCTCATATTGTTTTTTTTCTTCTATTGGTTGATGATTTTTTGTGAATGAAAAGAAAAAGTCAATTTGTTGGACAGATTTGCTTCGAGCTATGTTTGAAGCAAAATTGTCAAAGTTGTATTTATGAACGTCTGTTGACATTAAACGAGTTAATTAAGTATACGCATTTATTTGGGTGTGTTTATCTACCATCCGCTTTCTTTTCCTTTTCTGACAGACAGAGTAAAGAAAAAATATATAGAAAAAAAACGAGGTATGTCATTTCTTATTCCAAATAATCTCTCAATGCGACTAACATTCAACCGAACAGCTTCGACATTGTTGCTAAATTCGTCATGTGGTAATGTTGGTGAAAATCTTGTTTTATTATTTTTCGTTCTCGGTTGTATTTTAACTATAATTGGCACTTTGCTGAATCTTTGTTCGTGTTTACTCTTTTACCGTGCAAAATCATTGGATAAAACTCCTTATGGGATTTTTATCATTGCATTGTCCATCGCTGATATAGTGAAGCTTATCGCTGAGTATGTCGTGCATATTCTCTACTTTTACATTGATCATCGATATCTCGTTTGTTCAATAACATGGTTTTTGACATTGAGTAGTGAAAATTTATCGTATTTGTTCTTATGTGCATTGGGTAGGAGAAGAGAATCATCATAAGAAATCGATTTCTACTTTTTGTTTTGTTTTTTTTTTGTTCAGGAATTGAACGTAATTTAAAAGTTTGGATTACTGATCGTCGTTGTTTAATAACTCGTCGACGTGCATGTACAATAACGATGTTTTTGATTATATTTGTCGTAATTTATGATCATCCATTTCTCTTTTTACCTTACGATGTTTCGTATTGTTTTGTTAAACTTTTCAACTCACAAATTTTATTTTCATGTGATAATGCACATTATAAATCATATGGTTATTCGTATTCATTAACTGATTTGATTTTTATCGAAAGTATTGGTTTGAATAATTTTATTTTACCGATTTTAATCATTTCGACGAATATTGTGTTAATTCTCGGATTGCGTCGTCGAGCGTATCAACGCCGGATTCGTTTAGGAACGCGAAAACATAAAGATTGGCGAGAACAAAGCGTGATTTTATATGTTTTCCTTTCAAGTATCACTTTTGTTTTCTTAACAACACCGACAGGTGTTTTAAATGCCTTATCAGCTGTACATAATCAGAAAATGGCGACGAATAATATCGCATTGGTCTTAGAATTAATGGAAATTCTTCATCATTGTTCTCATTTTCCTATTTTATTAATGACAAGTTCGGTAATTCGTTCAAAAACATTTCAAATACTTTTTCATCCTCGTCAAACACAACGAAGTTCAGTTAGCTCAAGATTTTCAGGTCAACCACGCATTCTGTCAGCATCCTTAAGTCAATAATCGATCTTTAACTATCAAATTATCATTGAAAAAGTTGTACACTTATGTATTTATCTGTTGTATTCTCTTCTATATCAGATAGAATATATAATATATTGAAAGAAAACTATTTTGTTCAAAATAAGAGTGTTGATTGTGGAGTGAACAGGAAAAATGATCTTTTAATTATCATTTATAGGTCATTTTAATCGAGAAAATTCACAATGACACTACTCTCGATCGGTTATTGATAGGAAAATTAAGATATACTTTGTATATCAAAGTAGAACAAACGTAAACTACAATTATTTTGATTTTGATATGGAGAAAAGGAATAGCAAACTGTTTGTATATTGAAGAGAATGCTTAATGGTTGCTATTCAATTTCTTTTATTAAAAAAAAAGAGCATTTTCATTAGAAAATATAACGAAAGCATTCACTATTCTTCATTTCAAGTATGTCATTACCTCTTTTTACGTCAACAATGAAGACAAAAGTAGGTAATTGTTTGACCTATCGAGGAAACGAGGCAAATGTATCCGAGATGTTTCTACTATATGTCGATTAGTTGAATTTAAGTATATAGACTATCATTAGTGTCGAATTAGATTTTCTGCGCAATGTAAAACGTGATATTCGTGACTTTCATTCAAACTAACGAATTGCTGAAGTTCCCTTTACACAATGAACGGTTGTTTATTTGTGTTCTTCTTTTTATACAGAATTGTTGGGCAAATTAATTCAAAAGAATCTATTTAGTAAAAATTTGTCAAAATAAGGTGTCGCGTTCTGTTAGGTGTAATTCTTGTATATTTTATCCAAAAATGTGACAAATCGAGACCGAATGGAATTCAATTTGAGATTAATTTTCAGAAATGTGTCTTGTTTTTTCAAATGTCTACAAAATTCTCTGTATCTTTTCACGACATGGAAATAAGAGAGAAATTTTAATTTGTTTTCTCCTAATCTAGTCTGAATTTGATCTTCTGCGTATGACAGATGTCATTGTCATATATAAACAAGATAGTATTTTTTCTAAAAGCGTTATATATTCATTTCTTCAACTGTCAAGAAATATTCGAGTAAAAAAAGAATTCAAAAGTTGGATAAGTCTAAGATATTGTTTTTGCGGACAAGATCATAACTGCGATTTCGATCGTCGATGGTTGCTTTGCTTGCTATAATTATCCTCTTTTTTTATGAAATCAGTACGTTGTTTGAAAGTATAGATTGATATTTTCTTTTGTTTTTGATCTATGTCAGTCATGAGTACTGAAAAAGAAACTTCACCTACATTTTGGCGTCGAATCATCAATCGATTTGTTCAATTGAATCTTTATAAAGACAAAGAATCCTTGACTCCAAATCAACAAATCTTGAGCACTCGACTTTACATTGTTGTCTTTGCAGTGTCTATGCTTATTCTCTTTATCTTCACTGGAGTTAGTAATCAAACATATGTCGTCATTGTTCCATCCCCATCTTTAATAACTTTTGAGCAACTTTCCAATAAATATCCATCAACACTTTCATGTCCTTGTTCACAAATTTCCATTCCATACGAGAAATTTCTCTCGTTTGATCCTGAATATCATCAAATATGTTCAAGTGCATTTGTTGGTGATGAATGGACTCAATCTTTGTTCAACATGACAATGACCGATCATTATCCGCTAGATTTTCGTTTGATTGCTTCATCACAATTTCAATTTCTTAGATTATTTTGTCGTACAACAAATACGAGTGTTGTTGATGCAATTGAAGAATTTCTTTCGTCGGAAATGATTTCAACGAATACATTATTTCGTGCTGCTTTCGATATTCAAATGGCAACGCTAGTCGAACAATTACAATCATTAACAACAATTAGCTACAACCGTACTCATCGATTACTATCGTTGAGTTTGTCTCAAAATCATGTGTTTTCTTCGCTTCGAACCAACTTCTACGTGCAAAATACACCAGGGACAAATAAATACAGCACTTATTATACATATTATCCATATTCTTTCAATCAATCAAATATTTCATCTGAACCAATCAGTGAAGATGATACTTGCAGTTGTCTGGATACATTTGACTGTAATTTTCCATCAGGAATATTCAATTGGTCAAAAGCGGGATCAATTATACCAGGAGAAATCCTATGGCCATATCCGCCTGCGATGGTTTCAGCGAATGGTATGCAAGCCGGTTGTATTCCACAAACTTCGTTATTATCATCAACACTTGAATGTTTCTTTAACGAAACGTGTCTCAGTCGTGTTTTGTCTTCAATCGGTGGTCTTCGTAATGTTAGTGCACTCGATAAAACAAAAATTGGTTCGAATTATGATTCAAATACATTGATCAGTGATATAGTTAATAACTTAATGATAGAATCGATCCATAGTACAGCTGATTTTTTGAGTTATTTCGAAGCTTGTAAACCGAAAACGTGCAGTTATTCGTATTCGCAAAGATTTGGTATAATTTATGTAATAACAACTCTGATTAGTCTGTGTGGCGGATTGAGTGTTGTTATACAAAGTTCGTCTCCGATTCTTATTGGATTTATTACGAAAAAGAAGCAGGCGAAAGTGACTGGAGAAGTTGAGGAGTCAAAGGAGGAAGTCAAACAAACTAAATCTGGTCAGTCTTATCTTTCGTGATGAAATAATTCAATTCTTTCTCTTTGACTTTCGTAGAAGTTAAAGATCGTATTCATCAACTTTACCTGAAGGTCAAAAATACCTTGTTCACTTTAAATTTGTTTAAAAAGAAAATAGAAAATGTCCGTCTGGGAATTTATTCAACTCGCGTTTATATTGTTTTACTTGGTATAGGCGTCATCGTTTTGGCTATTTATTCAGCATTTATTCAGAATTTAACAACTATCACAGTAGAAAATCCCACTCAATCGCAATTTGAAGAACTCTATCAGAAATATCCATCGACATTATCATGTCCCTGTGAACAACTTTCAATGCTTTATTCGACTATAATGGTCATCGAACCTCGGTATCATCAGATTTGTCAAAGTACATTTGTTCGAGCTGATGGTTGGCTCAAATATTGGCCTTTAGAATCGTTTAACGCAAGTGATCCAAATGCTCCCGCCTTTTTCGGAAGTGATTATCGAATAACTGGTGAAGCATTTTTCGATCAATTAAGAACATTCTGTTATGTAGCAGCTGAAATTATAACAACTGCGATCGAAGTGTTTAATAGCACAAATTTCGTTAGTGCTCAACCATTAGCAGAAGATGATTTCAATGCACAAACATCATCTCTATTTACTCAATTTAAACAAGAGGTAAACCATATTCAGTTCGAAACTTCCATACACGATTAGATGATTTTTCTAGACAACTGAGTCATTCAGTTCACTGTTTGATATTGTGTATTACACTATTCGTCTTAACCAATATCTTGTAGCTGGTGCAACAAATGTTGTTCCAAGATCTCAAAAGATCAACGGTACATGGAACGTTCGTTATCAATCGAAAGTTTATACAAATGGTAATACGACATGTTTATGTGGTACATCGAGTCTCTGTACAAAACCACAAGGATATTATTGTTCTGCGAACAGTTGTCATGCAGGTACATCATTGCCAAATTATACAATACCGGGTTTATATGTCGGCTGTTTTCCTATTGACTCAACTCTTCTGTCGACACTCCAATGTTTTTACGATCAATCGTGTATTCAAATGTTAATCGATTTACGTGTTTATGATTACGAAACATACATCGTCCCAGTTAACTTAACTAATATAACTGCATTAGATCGTTCATTACAAAGTCAATATCATCCGAATACTACGCTTGATATAATCATTTCGAAATTATTCATCGAAGACTGGGCACAAAGTGTTAATTACGCTTCACATTATGCTCAATGTCAACCAGCAATTTGTAAATATACAATCGTTGAAAAACGTCAGCCTATCTTTATCGTTACGAACGTTATTGGTTTGTTAGGCGGACTTACCGCCATTCTCGAAGTTATTGTTCCATATTTGGTTGATTTTGCTCAGAAATTGCACTGTCGATATAAAAATAGAAAGCAACAACAAAACGAAACTGGTGAGACATACGAATACTCACTCAACTTGCAAAAATATGATCTTTATTTGTAGATAAATCGAAAAAGCGTTCGTTCGGTCGGCTGGTTAATTATATTTGGCAAAAACTGCGAACTCTAAATGTCTTTGAGGAAGAACTACCTGAAAACTATCATATAATAGCTACTCGAATCTATTTTGTCTTGTTGTTCATGTCAGTCATTATCATAACACTTTATGTTGGACTAAGTCAACAATCTCATTCATTTACTGTTGATTCACCAAGTGAAACTCAATTTGAATATCTTTATTCTCAGTATTCATCAACATTGATGTGTCCTTGTTCACAAATTTCGATTTCATACGAGAAATTTCTCGACGTATCACCTGTAACGCATCAGATATGTTCAAGTCAGTTTATTACATCGAATTGGTCGACAAGTTTATACAATTTGGGTTCGACTTGGTCAGTACCTGATTGGTTTCTCCTCAGCACACAATTTCGTCTACTTTCGTCATTGTGTAACATTACTAAAAGCACCGTCGACCAATCGAAATCCAGTTTTCTGTCAAATAAGCTTGTAAGTGTCGTAACTATTCCAAAAAGTTTGTTTGAGGCTCAACTCAATTCCATGGTTACACTTTTAATCACACATACTCCGAGAAATTTTCGTCGTACACTTGATTTTATCATAAATGGACATCAATTTAATCAGCTGCAAGATCAATTCATGTCCAGTTGGAAAATGGTTTATTCAACTTCACAGGAAAATTATTTATTTCGTACAGTTCCTGTTGTATATAATAATGACACATGTATTTGTGCCACAGGAATGTCAACATGCTCAAGAGCATTGAGCTTTTTGAATTCGTCTACTGCAATTACTGTTCCAGGTAAGTTGAGGTCATCTTTGTCTCGTATTACACATTTGAAATTTTCAGGTTTCAATGCGGGGTGTTCGACGATCTTAGGTCTTCGTTTATCAACATTTGAATGTCTATATAATCGAACATGTTTGAATTCTCTCAATACATTGATGAATTTCTCAGTTCCAGCGGAACCTCTCGATATATCGAAGAATATTCTATATAAGTCGAGTACAACACCAATCGGTTTAATGATTGACAATCTTTTCATCGAAACGTGGTTCAATGCCTCGAATTATTCAAATTATTTTTCTGAATGTGCTCCGACAATCTGTGAATATTCTTATGTTCAACGTAATGATATCATTTATATTGTTACAATTCTGGTCGGTCTCTACGGTGGACTGACAGTTGCTTTACAAGTGATCATTTGGCATGGAGTAGGAATATTTCGTCAACTTCTCAATCGATGCCGTCGTACCGGTAAAGTAGCTTCAAACGCAACTCCTGAATAAAACTTTTGATTCATAATTATCATAATTGAATGTTTCAAATCATTTTCTTTATATGATTCACACATTCCAAAGTTCACTCACAGCTTTCTGCTTCTCTGTTCGTTTCACATGCGCGGTCGTTTTCTTCTATCTGTAATCAACAGTTTCACAAATGTCAAGCAATATCATTCTATATTCAACAAAGAAATAGGATACACATACAACAAATTTTTTTAATTTGCGAAGTCAATACTCTATGACCATGTCGGTCCTAAAGGGACAATGCGGCTTACAATTAACACGTTACATAAATGAAAGAAAAGCAAAGCAAGCATAAGTAGAGCGGAGCGAAAGCAAAGCAGAAGAACAGTTTGAGTATCTTTTGTTTTTCACACAACATTGAAACATACATTCCATAGAGATAAGATACGCTGTGCATAGACATATGGCTTATAGAACAATAATCATTATACAGTAGAATTAAACAGCGTGTTTGTGGATTTGGGAGAAGGAATTGAACCTCGTACGTTCTAATACAGAGTCAGAGACGCACCTCATTCAACTGGACTCTCCACACATACAACAAATCTTTACTGACAACATCACAGTAACGAATTAGTCTGTCGTCGGTGTAATTTCCGTAGGTCGACGTTGGAGTAGTTTGATGAGAACAACTGCAATTGAATGACAGATGATCACGACTCCACCGTATAGAGAAATTAACACCGTGATTCCTTCGATCAAGTTGTTGTTTTGAATAGAATGAGTGCATAAAAAGGGTTCACAGTTTGCAAAATAATCCTCATAAGACTCGTTATTGTCAAGGTTTTCCATCATTAATTCATTTAAAACTAATTCAAAACTTGAATTGATCGGAAAACGGCTCCGTTCACTTGAATTATCGAGTGGATTCGTCTTGTTTCTTATATCTAGACATTTTCTGTCGTAGAGACATTTTATCGGTGACTGCCACATGGTTTCAGTGATATAACAGCCAAAATTAATTCCAAAAACTTCCTTCATACACATTGCAGTCAAACCACAATTACAATCTTGTTCAACAACTGGTACACTATGAAGAGTACTCGAATACGAAAGATCTTGTTGCTCAACAAATACCCAACTACTGCCATATGTATTCATTAAATGATTTGCAGTTACTGCCAATCGAGTTAATGCATATATATTTGTAAGTGTCCTCGGTACTCGTATTTGAAAATCATTAATAGTTAATCGAATATGTTCTGTTAATGAAGCCTCTGACAATAATTGATTGTTAACAAAATGACTTGTTAATAATTGATTGAGTGCTTCTACTAAGATTTCCTTTGATAGTTTACAAAGTCTATCAATCCCTAATAAATATCCTACACCTACATATCCGTACTTTGCAGTGAAATTCTTGGCGTAATCATTGAATGAAATAGTACTAATTATATTCCATAATTCCTTAACAATATTTCTTGAACACATTGGATGAAAACGAGGAGTTATGTTCAGAAATGAACGATATTGGATGGATATTTCTGAACAATAACAATGCAAAGTATCAGCATGTTCTGCAACCAATTCTTGATAAGCGTTTAGTTTGGGTTTTTCTGTTTCTACTGTAATCAGATCAGAACGAAAAGCATGATACATGTAAAGACTATACAAAGCTAATATAACTAGAATAACATGTAATCGATTCGTTACTTTTTTTGTGTCGCTCCAATTGAAAAGCGTTCGAATATAATTTAGAAATGATTGAAAAGAATTTCCCTCGAAAAGCTTCTCAATTATGTGAAGGCCAACCCAGATAAACTTCTGCAAAGCAAATGATAATCCACTGAATATTCCACTAACAATAATAAGAATCGTTAAGATATGATAACGATCCATATATTCAATGACACATGAACTTGGAGCACAATTACTATAATAAGAAGTGAAATTGGTGTTTTGTAACCAGTTATCATCAACCATTAATTTATCTACAATCGATTGGATAGTCTCATTAGCTGAGTTGAGACTTGAATTAAGTGCTGGAAAAGTCCAAGATTCAATAGAAGATGAAGTAAAATATGAATGAAGTTTTTCATTACATAGTTGATTATAAAAACATTCCAATGTCGATTGAAGTAATGCATCGATCGGATAACAACCCACGAAAAAGTTCGGAATAAGAAAGAAGTCGTTTGAATCTCGATGATGATATATTTTCATTAATGTTTGACATTTTTCATAAGCACAACTACACTTATCATACTGTCTAGGCTCGGTAATGACTTGTTTTCCTTTCGAACTATATTGATAAAAAATATTTTGACGATTCATGACTTGATTGGTTGAAATCGTAAGTTGAGTAATGTTAATACTTCGTTTAAACTGACTAATCGTCGAATCTTTCCAATTATGAATAAGTTGAATCATTTGTTTGTGAAAGAAATCGGAACGCATGACATGTAAACCAACAATTCGTCTTTGAAGAGAGTCATCAAGTGTATTATTTATTATTATCTTCGCCTGTTCACAAAGCATCGCTAAGGTTTGAAAATAAGTAGCAGCATTATGTTCATATTCAAATAAAATAGGTTTATCAAATTGTTTTGGTCGAACAAATTCGATCCATTGTGAAGTTATTAGATAACTTGAACATAAATGATGATAATGAGGTTGAATCGTGAGAAAAGAAGAATATGATGTCGATAATGAAGTACATGAACATGTCAAATCATCGAGATAATCTTTTTCAAGATTAAGATATTCGAATTCGGATGGATTTGTAATTGTATGATAACGAATCCTTTTGATTGTTATATTGTATAATGTTAAGGTTGAAAAGGAAAGGACAATTAAAATGATATACAAACGAGTAGCGTAACATTGATGACGAACTTGTCGATCATTAGAAGGAAAACTTTTGAATAAATTCAATTCGATGATTGATTTTTTCGCTGTTTTTTCGAGTTCTTGCAAACGAATACGAACTAATATTCAATGTCAAAAACATTAGACTATTTTCATCATGAAAAGATCAGATAACTTACGAGAAATTTTTGGATATACAACTTTATTTATTTTGTCCATTACGATTCGAACAATAATTGGAACTAATATTTGAAGTACCATAATCAAAGCGGCGAGTAGACTGATGAGTTGTGTGAGAACAAATTGCCAAGTTTGTCGTTTTACTTTCACATAAGTACATAAAAGAGATGCACATCCATTAAAATATTTCGTGTACGAGACGTCGGTTATCCAATCTTCCACCATCAAATCATTTACAATTGATCGTACGATTGTAAATGGTTTAAAACGACTTTGATTGTTGACAATCATTGCTGAGAATTTTTCTTTCGTGGGGAAAAATGAAATCAATTCATCTAAACATGTTTGATTATAAAAACATTCAAGTGTTGATGCAAGAATTGAACCCATTGGTAAACAACCCGATGCTAATCCGGGAATTATTGTTATATTTCCAGATTGATATTGTGTTTGTGCTCCAAATATACTGTCAAAGACAGCATTTGAACTACATTCCGAATCTACAAGACAATTACAACTTGTCTTATTTATGCGATTATATGTAGCAGCGTAAATAGCAGGATGGTATTTGGCACTGTATGATATATGAAAGTTTGTTTGAAGACCAGAAACGAGTCTATTGTTCATAATCATTTGTCGTACAAATTTCAATTGAGTGGCAAATGGTCGCGATACGGTTTGTTTAAATTGAGCGAGAGTTAATTGAATTTCTTGTTGAAAATTTATCTTCGAACGAATGTGTGTACTAATTAACATTGTTCGTTTGAATAAATCGATATGTTGTTGAAGATAAGAGTATGAGATATTACAAAAGCCAGACAATGCTTGAAATTGCGCAGTACCAAATGTACGAAAGTCTTTGACATTGAAATATGTCGAATTTGAACCGGAAAAAATCGCTTTTATCCATCGATTAGATACGAACTCACTGCGACATATTTCATGTAAATTTGCATGTAATGAGATAAATTCACCATAGGAAAGTGAAATCTGGGAACAAGGACAATCGGCATCGATAGGTAAAACATCAAATTGTTTTTCAGTTGGATTTTGTAGTTTCATGATCGTTGTTTCGACTTTAAATTTTGTGAAAAGGGCAAAACCAATGAGAAGAAATATAAGAAGAACTATGTAAACTCGGGTAACAAGAATATTGAAATGACGTTGTTGCTCATTCTCCTCTTCGCCGCTATCAGCTACCGGTTGGAAAAGATTCAAATGTCGAAAATAGTTTTTCAAAGAAAACATCATTCGACGACAAATGCTAGTCATCATAAAAGTATCTTTTACGCGTTTTTTATCAATAGAAATACTTTCACCAAATGAAAAGAGATCTCATATTCTAACTGTTGTTTTGTTTGTTAGTTTATCTCCCTGTAGAAAGTTCAATATAAGATAATAAATCAAATTTGAAAACTAGAACGATAACACGTATGAGTTTTAGCATAAAATGTCGAACATCCGTTTCAGCATAACGATAAATAGGGTAATGTGAAGGCAAACAAGAGCACATTAAACTTGCAAGTAAATGTAGATTTTGCGAAATTTAAGTATGGATTGCAACTAGAAATGACAGGATTTCATTCACTTTCCCGACAACTACATTTTAGTCGAAATTCGAATGTCTACCATTATTTTGAGGATGTAGGAGAAGATATAGGTGAAAGTAAAGGTGAAATTATCACTAATTGTGACAAAATTCGATCTAGAGTACAGCGTCTTCATCGGTACTATCAGAATTTGAATACCAAAAAACTACATATAGAAATGAATTTGTTGGTAAACTGTAGCAGACCCCAATGACGCTACTTTCGAATGGTAACGAGATAAGTTCAATTAAAATCAATTTATTGATGGTTTTTTTAAGAAGAACGGCTCGAAGTGTCTACTCAAATGCGCTTGTCCGTTTTATAGATATTAAATATGTCTATCGTTCTTCCTATTTACACAGAATAATCGTTCACAATATATGTTCCTGTCATTTCATGAGACTTTTCGAAAGAGTTTTTTTTGTGTAACCAATAAACAAGGCAGATGGCTAAAATTTTACGAACTATGTTTGTTACATCCGTATACATTTATGATCAATGATACTTTAGGACTTTTATCAGCATTATAAACTGCGTATAGTTCTTCTTTAATTTCCTTTTGAAGGTATTTTATCTTTTGACAGAATACGGAAATGCGAATAAAATGTTGTTTTATCCAACAGTTTAAAGGATATTACTAAAAAAAAACAAATATTATCATGATTTTCGTGAATCTATATTCTTTGTAGGAGAAACAGCCTCTTTTTGTGAACACCTATTTCTTCATAATAACAAGAGAAAGTCTTTTCATCGTAGCATTCTCACATTCTTCTTCTTGATTTATGATTTTTACAAACAGAACCTTCATATAAACATTACTTATGAAAAGCAACAGAATAGATATTATTGAAATAATATATTTATTCAAAACATACACAAAAGAATTTTTGAATGCTTGTAGCCTTATCTGAACGTACTTCATTCAGTTCGAAATACGACAAAATCATCAGACAAGGAATGAATATATATTTGATATTCCAATAAAGAATAAACAGGATCATCTGTTTTATGTGCCTATCTTCTCTGCAATCCAATTTCCTAAGAAATCTGTTGTTTATAATTGTGATTGTTCTGATCGCAGCAGCGGTTATTATTTCCGTGATTGTGATCAAACTCAAAAGGCAAAATACAGGACCATCAATAAGAGAAACAACAGTAACAGCAACTACAACAATTATGACAGCAGAACCATTAACGTACACAAGTGTATCGATAACACCAACAGGTATAGTTCTGGGAATGTGACGAAGAGTTTAGATCTGATTTCAAATGTGTATCTTCATTCACAGTCATACAGACAAAATGATGATCTCTTTTAAAAACTATCAAACAGTTCTTTTTAGTTTCTCCCCTTAGATATTGATTATGATTCTACTGATCGACGTTTTCTTTTCACAATGACCTATCGATCATCTAATACACTCACTCTCATTCAAACTGATCGATGACTTGGTCATTTAAACGTTCCTCTTCATACCCTTCAACCAGGCAACGATACACATGTGAGTGTACTCGAAGTCCGTGGTTTCAGGTCAACACAATTCGCTACAGATATCACTTATGCGCTTTGTTTTGCTCTCGATGCTCTTCGATTGAATATCTATTTGCCAGTTGGATATTTTGAAAGTAACTATTTCGGATGGACTTTAAATGAAACAACAACGTGTAATCAAGCGAAAATATGGTATGAAAAGAAACAATATGATCGAATAAAAGCAAATTGTACAGATGGTGTTTTGAATAAAGGAGGAACATAAAGTTTGAGTGTGTCATTCAAGAAAATGAAAATCAAAATGTTAACAGATAATCTGTCTTTATCAACACCAAAGTTGAGTATTGAAAGAACATAGGAATGAGAGACAACATCAAAATGACTATTTTATTTGTGATTGTTTGATGTTGTTGTTGTTGTTGTGTAACATCTGAATTCTATTCAAACAGAATCTTTAATAAATTCTTTCTCTTCGATGTGAAAAAAAAACGTATGGAGAGGATTGACAGTTTCAATGGTAGATAAAAGATAACTGATAAGTATATTATCATTCACATATGTCTTTTAAAAGGCATATATGGAGAGAATGGTGAAATTTTTAATTCTTTTTGTATTGACAAATCTTTCCTCGGGCATAAACAATGGCCTCGGAAGAACTCCTCAGATGGGTAAAAATATGATACAAAAGCCAGTTTTATCAATAAAGAGATTTGAGTTTAGGTTGGAATAGTTGGTATAATTTTCAGTGCAATTATTCTGAAAAGAGAATTCAGAAAACGGTTGATATAATCATCAGTAGTGGTCTGGCTGCTGCGGGCTATGAATATAGTTTGTCATGAGGTGTTGATTATCGTTTGAAATAAAGTTTCTTTTGATTTAGTTAACCTTGATGATTGCTGGCAAGTAGGTCGAGATGCAAATGGAACGATTCTAGCTGATCCAGTTGCTTTTCCAAATGGAATGAAAGCACTGGTTGATTATGTTCATTCACGTAAACTTAAGTTCGGTTTATATTCAGGTAACATTTCCCTTGCGTGAGATTCTATCTAAAATTATCTCTTGTTAGATGCCGGTTACAGAACGTGTGCGGGTCGACCTGGTTCTCTAGGATATGAAACAAAAGATGCCAATACATATGCACTATGGGATGTTGATTATTTAAAATATGATAACTGTAATACTGATGGAACGAAACCAGAAGTGCGCTACCCAGTTATGCGTGACGCATTGAACGCGACGGGTCGACCCATCTTCTATTCACTTTGCGGTGAGTTTTCTATCCATGACTGAGTAAAAAAAGAAAAGGTCATATGTGAATAGAATGGGGCGTTGATACACCAGCACTATGGGCTGCAAATGTTGGAAACAGTTGGCGGACAACTGATGATATTTCTGATAATTGGGAATCGATGACTCACACAATAGATATAGCAAGACACAATTGTAAGTTATCAAAGAATTGATTTTATTTCATTTAGAATAATCAATTTGCTGATAAAGCTCGACCTGGTGGCTGGAACGATCCTGACAGTAAGCTTTCTATATAAGGTTCTAAAAGACACCAGTAATTTTCATAACGGTGTTAAGTGTAGTGCTACGAATAGGCAACGGTGGTATGACGAATACGGAATACATCTCCTATTTCTCTCTTTGGGCTATCAGTAAAGCTCCACTTCTGATCGGCGGTGATGTAACCAACATGAGCCAAGCAACTCTAAATATTTATCTAAATCGTGAAGTGATCGCTATTAATCAAGACCCATTAGGAATACAAGGAAAAAAAATTGTTGTTTCGTCATCACAAACATTCAACAATGTATTCGCTGCTAAATGTTCAACTCATGATCAACGACAAAAATGGATTTACGATGTTAATAATGATCATATTCGATCAACATTAAACGGACAATGTTTAACAATCGACAAATGTGATTCTGGTAGTGATGGATTGATGAATATTGTAACAACCACATGTTTCAGTAATATTTCCAAATCATCATGTCCACGAAAAATTCAACAATGGATGAGCAATAATCTATGGCAATTGAATAAAACAGATGGACTCATTCGAAGTGCTGCCAATACTGAATGTTTAACCGTTCCGCAAATTACAGAAATATGGGCTGGACCATTATCTGATGGATCCCAAGCTGTGCTGTTATTTAATCGAAATAGTACAATTAGTGAAGTGATTACTATTAAATGGACGGATTTAGGATGGTCAACTAATCAACGAGCAAGTGTTCGAGATTTATGGACTCATCGAGATCTCGGAGTGTTCGTAGGCAATTATACTTCGCCTAGTATCGAACGACATGCCGTACAGATGCTGAAAATTACACGAGTTCATTAACTAATAAAAATTTTTTTCTATTTTATTTGTTTCCAAAAATTTTTATGAGGTTCGACTAATTCGTCCTCAAGTTCAGGAAACGGACCCCATACTTTCACATTTTTCTGTCCATGTTCAAAAACATAACGACAAGGAATATCCAGTGTAGGATTCTTTTCATCATTACCAGTCAATTCAAGCAAACGTTTTTCTGTTGCACCATAAACAACCCGACCAATATTCGCCCAATACAAAGTCCCCGCACACATTACACACGGTTCAAACGTTGTATAAAGTGTACAGTTCCAAAGATATTCCGATGAAAAATTCGTACACGCATTTCGTACAAGCGTCGATTCAGCATGATTCACCGTATCAATATTTCCTTGTTCCATTAAAATTGTTTCATTATCTGGAGCGATAAGCACGCAACCAAATGGGTGGTGACCGAATTGTAACGCCCGTTTCGCAATTTTATTCGCATGGCACAAATGCTTCCGCATCTGTTCGCATGTTGGGTCAGAGTAACGTGATGTTAAAATCTCGGTCATAGTTTTAAATAAATTCACGATTTGTTTCTTTGGCTTGAAGATATGTTATCTTAACTATGCGTGGCCAATTGAATAAAGAATCCTTTTTATTCTATAGATGTCATGTCAACTAGAAAAATATAATCATTTGGCTTCATCCTTGAATAGTACAGAAAACGCGGTTGAGTACGCTCTTGCACTCGCTATCTGCGAATGTGTCATGTGAGAAAGTGCACAAAAAGAAAGTAATATTCTCTTCCAAATGCAAGGAATATATAAAGTAACAGGATATTAAAGAAGGATTTTACCGCACGAAACGTCGTGTTGTTTATAGAATATAAAATGACGTCGATAATTCCAATCTTTCTTTGCTTTATTTAGTTGAAAGACACACAGAACATCTTTTAACGAAGAAGAACTCATACTAATGAATTCTACTGATTTCTACGAATCGTTTTCTCTTTCTCTATCAATTAATCTCATCACTATATTGTCTAGTGGAATAGGTATTCTATTTTCTCTCACATTTATCTACATTATCTCATCAATTTCTTCATTACGAACACTTCCGAACATTCTAACATTGAATTCCGCCTTCGCTCTGCTTATTCTTTCAAGCGACACTCTCCTGATCGGAATTTATATTTTATATCGAGATATCAAACGCAAACAACTCCAAACATCCATCGAAATGCGAAGTTTAGTTTTTTGTCATATCCGCGGTTACGCCGCACACGTGTCATTTGGTGCATTGATGTATTCTTATGTTATTCAAGCATGTTATCGTCTAATTGGAACGATCTATTACCATCAAATATCTCTGAAGATTTATACATACGCAATTGGTCTTCAATGGATATTTGCTGTAGTACAACTTCTACCGATTCTACTTGGAAAGAATCAAGTCTACATTGAACATGAATATTTGTGTCAGATTGCGATTGAAAATAGCAAAGGGATTTGTTATATTAATTTAACAAATTATGTAATACCGGTTATGATGATTGTGTTGATATATTATAAAATTACGAAATCCGTGCGAGAAAAAGTGAATAATGGTATGACATAAATGAGCTTTTCAGGACGTTTTTACTCAAAGAATCTGTTTCTTTAGGGACTTACAGGTATAACATCCATCGTGCACGTCGTCAAATGGTGTTAACTCAACGAATTCTCATTTTAATTACAATTATCTTTGTTCTTGGCGGACCTTACACAGTCTTTATTATCTTAGAAGCTTTCTCCATTCGACGTGCACCGTCGTATTCACATCGGATTGGTTTTATGTTCATCGCCATTGCTTGTTGTTTAAGCATTGTAACAATCTTATATTATGCTCAAACAGCGCGTGAAGCCATTTTCAAAAAGAATCCATCGCGAAAGTACGAATTGAAACGACTGAACTCAAACAATGACAAAAGATTAATACAGAAAAAAGAGACCATTAATAGCACGAGAGAAACTTGAACTATATGTTTTGGTGAGAATGTGTAATGATCAATACAACTACACTCTTGTCTTTGTCGGCACTGTCTACAAGTGAAAGCAGATGGAGTTTCTATTTTCGACATTTCCTTTTTTGAGAAAAATTAATAAAAAGAAATTAGAAAACGTAGGTGTTGACTTTATTTTGGCACGTCAATTTCAGATCTGTATCATCAAAGTTTGCGAATAGAAATGCCGATTTTCGGTTGGATATTCGCGACTATGAAATCTTTTTTCTCTATTTTCCTCATATTTTGACAATAGTCAAAATAGTTATACATGTGAGGGGATATACAGTTTTTGATGAAACTCTAACATATTTTCCGAAATTCTAAATTAACCGTCGGGAAAACTCTTCTTTTAACTCTATTAAATACACATCTCAAACATTCGTCATCTTCACGTTTATTTATATCGATTGTTTCAGAAAATTGCACGATATAAATATAGTTCACTCGTAAGTAAAGAAATCTTCACGCAAACTTTCAATAAGTCTAGCGGCCCAACGAACTGCATTTATCATCATTTTCGTAGGGCTAGTATTTATTTGAGCACTAAAAATACTGAAATGAGCATTAATAAAAGATATGAATGAGCAGTAACTGCTGAGCAATAAAAAAGTCATTTTTGATCATTTTTATATTGTAAAATAAATACTAATTAATTAATTAAATAGTAGTATTAAATTCATATTTTAGCAATAGTAAATAGAAAAACTGCAGATTTTATTGCTAATTTTAATACATTATGGCTCATTTAGTTTCATTAGTGCTAGTTTAGTATTATTATTGCTCATTTAATTTTATTAATGTTCATTCAATATAATTATTGCTCAATCAGTATTTTTAGTGCCAATTTTCGTTATTGCTCATTTAAGTACTTTTAATGCCCACTTAAATACAAGTCTTTTCGTAGTGTTGTCATCATTTGCCTAGTTGAACACATCTTGGTTGGTAGTGTGATGGCCTGAATGTGCTATTTGAACTAATCGACCAGCGGTGCCATGATTTGATTTGACGATTAGGCCAGGACCTCCTCCTCTCATTCCCATAGCATTAGCAACAATTACAGCTCCACCAGATTCCATACAGGAACATTCATATCTATTAGACAAGAAAATTTCTTTCGAGCATCGTGAATCATAGCAAATGTTCGGTAGACAGATCGATTTCACTTGTTTAGGAACAATCTACTCGATGGATTCTTGCGCTCGGTTTTCCGCTATAATAGAATATTTTTTCTGCAATTGAACAGATTTCTTAATATAATCATATGACTTCTCAAGGAAAATATTTCCTACATATTCCGAACTCTTTGCGTCGCTAATATTCTGATATGAGGCACATATTCTTGATGCGTTGCTTTCAAGAAAATGATACTCAATAAGATTATTTCATTATATTTAGACTTTCGACGAAACAGATATATAACCAGAAGAGATTACAAAACAAATCGATACTTTCTTGTCCTACTTGTGTCTAATCCTGATGTTGCATTCGACAATTTTTCATGTGAACAACTGACATTCGAACGAAAAACATACAGAATCTATCAAACTGAACTCGAACGTAATGTTGAAAACGTCTTTCCATTTTTTCACAAGACTATCGAAAAGTGACATCGACGAGAAGAGGAATTTTGAAAACTTCTCGTGATGAAATGGATGATTGGAAAAGAATTTTTTCAATGACTTCTTTCTCGGAGAAATTCGGTTGAAAATATGAAATCTTTTATTCACATTGTAAATGTAAGCAGATAATTTTCGATGACAACACAAAGATCAATCCGATCATTTGTATGCCAAGTGATATCTTTAGCAATATTCCGACGAATCTGCTATGACTATGTTCGAAACAGTTTTTCGATCACTTTCACGTCAATCAGTCAGATCTGACTTTGTTTTATTCGAAAAAAAAAACGATTCCAATCTTGATTTTTTCCTGCAAAATCAGTTTGACATTTCACAAGGCGATACATTCATCTATTTTTGCATAAGGAAAATATTTGTGTAAATCGTCTGAATGATCATAATCAGGAAAGTATAAGTGATTCACTTTGGAACAATTGACTCTTGTTTGATCTCTTGTGAAATTGTCTGTTATTCGTTTGAACGATTGATATTTGACAAAGAGACTCACTTTTTGAACCAAATTGCTTTTTCTCTCAAGAAGAAACTGTTCAATATAATGATCATGAGTATGAAGAAGAACCAGTCGAACAAGATGATTATATTGGATTGCAGAAACATTTTCTTGATTATCTTCTTCATGATTTTCTGCTTTTGAATTGACAACCGATAAGGTTTCCATTCGTGGAAATGATTGGACAATACGTCGAAAAAATTCTTCTTCAAATGGCTTGGTATCAAATAATGAAACCTCACGAACATAAGGAAATGCTCCACCAGGAAAGCGATTACTGATTCCACAAAAATATTCGTTGAATGATGGAGATGAATAAAGGTGGTATTGAGCGGTTCTTTCTTCGGAAAAAAATTCTCCATAGGAAGCTATTCCAACACCTGGATCAACATGAAATCTTTCTTCAAGTGTTTCAAGTATTGCAAGTTCTTCTTCGTTCGGAAACAGTCGATTTGAATGAATAAAGAAACTCAATTGATTTAATTTCGGAAGTGAACAAAGAATATTTCGATCGAAATAATTCAGATCGAGAAATCCTCGAGAAAGATCAATTTGAAAACACATTTTGAGTTTTTCCAGATTAGACATTCGATGGAGAAGTGGAAGAACTTCTTCTTCAAAATAATACGTCAAACAAGAACAACTGATGAAGAAATGCTTCATCCGAGGTAAATCAATCTAAACGAAATCGATGTTTTTTCCGAACAAAATGCTATTGATTAGAAACTAACTTGCTTTGGAATTAATTCTGAACGACGAATCCTACACACATTGATATCAACACTTTGAAGTTGATCGAAACGACCATCGAACAAATGAAGACAATCTTCAAAAGATGATACATTGATCTTTAATTTCGACAGAGTTGAACAGCGAAAATGGTCAACTCGAATATCCTCAAAAGATAATTCATGATGAAAGTCAATTGATGGCGCCGATTCATCCAGTTCAAGGCTTAACAACGAATGAAAAACAGTGAATATATTTTCACAAATGTATGAAATCGGGCAGAATGTTGCCTCATCATCAATGTCATCGAGTTTTATCCGAAGTGTTTGAATTTGATTTCGAAAAACTCCACGACAAAGCTTTTCATCTAAAATAGAGGAAAAGCCAATCATCTTCAATGATCTTTCTTTTCTCAATCAGTAATCTTACCAGTGAAAAGCCATTCGATTGTTTCTCTTCTCAAATCAGAAAGTGAAAGATGTGCCAAATTTCGATAGAAAGTAGCATGTAAAATCTGTTGCATCGATGATGAGTCAAGAATAAATTCATGAATATGATCATCAATTAAAGGTAAAATTTCTAAGCACAATCGATTGAGCATCATGTTCGAAAAAGTTCCATTCTGATAAGAATGATTGCAACTCTTCTTCACCAACTTGAAACATC